TAGTCCAACTCTCACATCCATACATGACTACTGGAAAAATCATAGCTTTGACTAGATGGACATTTGTTGGCAAAGTAACACTCTGCTTTTTAGTATGCTGTTTAGGTTGATCATAAGTTTTCTTCCAAGGAGCAAGTGTCTTTTAATTTCATGTCTGCAGTTACCACCTGCAGTGATTTTGGAGACCAAAAAAATAAAGTCTGCCACTGTGTCCACTGTTTCCCCATCTACATCCCATGAAGTGATGAGACCAGATGCCATGATCCTAGTGTTCTGAATGTTGAGTTTCAAGCCTACTTTTTAACTCTCCTTTTCACTTTCATCAAGCATCTTTAGTTCTTCTTCACTTTCTGCCATAAGGGTGGTGTCATATGCATATCTGAGGTTATTGATATTTCTCCCAGCCATCTTGATTCCAGCTTATACTTCTTCCAGCCCAGCATTTCTCATGATGTACTCTGCATATAAGTTAAATAAGCAGGGTGACAATATATAGCCTTGACATACTCCTTGTCCTATTTGGAACCAGTCTTTTGTTCCATGTCCAGTTCTAACTGTTGCTTCCTGACCTGCATACAGGTTTCTCAAGAGGCAGGTCAGGTGGTCTCGTATCCCATCTCTTTCAGAATTTTCCACAGTTTGTGGTGATCCACACAGTCAAAGGCTTTAGCATAGTCAATAAAGCAGAAATAGATGTTTTTCTGGAACTCTCTTACTTTTTCAATGATCCGACAGATGTTGGCAATTTGATCTCTTATTCCTCTGCCTTTTCTAAAACCAGCTGAACATCTGGAAGTTCATGGTTCATGTACTGTTGAAGCCTGGCTTGGAGAATTATGAGCATGGCTTTGCTAGCATTTGAGATGAGTGCAACTGTGCGGTAGTTTGAGCATTCTTTGGCATTACCTTTCTTTGGGACTGGAATGAAAACTGACCTTTTCCAGTCCTGTGGCCACTTCTGAGTATTCCAAGTTTGCTGGCATATTGAGTGCAGCACTTTCACAGCATCATCTTTTAGGATTTGAAATAGGTAAACTAGAATTACATCACCTCCACTAGCTTTGTTTGTAGTGATGCTTCTTAAGGCCCACTTGACTTCACATTCCAGGATGTGAAGCCTAGGTTGCTGATCACACCATCGTGATTATCTGGGTTGTGAAGATCTATTTTGTATAGTTCTTCTGTGTATTTTTGCCACCTCTTCTAAATATCTTCTGCTTCTTTTAGGTCCATATCATTTCTATCCTTTATTGAGCCCTTCTTTGCATGAAATGTTCCCTTGGTATCTCTAATTTTCTTGAAGAGATCTCTAGTCTTTCCCATTCTATTGTTTTCCTCTATTTCTTTGTACTGATCACTGAGGAAGGCTTTCTTATCTCTCCTTGCTATTCTTGCTACACAAGAGAAGACTCTACACATGGATATCACCAGATGGTCAACACCAAAATCAGATTGATTATATTCTTTGCAGCCAAAGGTGGAGAAGCTCTATACAGTCAGCAAAAATATGACCAGGAGTTGACAGTGGCTCAGATCATGAACTCCTTATTGTCAAATTTAGATTTAAATTGAAGAAAGTAGTGAAAACCACTAGACCATTCAGGTATGACCTAAATCATGTCCCTTAAAATTATACAGTAGAAGTGAGAAATAGCTTTAAGGGACTAGATCCGATAGACAGAGTGCCTGATGATCTATGAACAGAAATTTGTTGACACTGTACAGGAGGCAGTGATCAAGACCATCCCCAAGAAAAAGAAATGCAAAAAAGCAATATGGCTGTCTGAGGAGGGCTTACAAATAGATGTGAAAAGAAGAGAAGTGGAAAGCAAAGGAGAAAAGGAAAGATAACGATGCTTTAAGATTGATTAGTGTGAAAGGGTCACAGTGACAAGAACAAGACAGCCACCAAAAGTGTCATGTGGAGTTCATGAAATAGCAAAAGTTTTGTGCAAAAGTTTGAGGTTATATAATACATTAGAGTAGCCACTATAGTCAGCAGTAACTTTCATTTAATGCACATGACTAAGAGTACAATGGTAAATACAGGCATTATATGCATAGCAAAAGAGATTGGCTTTATTACTCCAAAGAGGAGGTAATGGCAGTACCTAATCAGATTCATGTATACAATGTGAGTGGTTCCAGAAATTAGGGAATCATGGTGTGAAAGCTGAAGACATCGCAGTAAGGGTATGTGGTCAGCACCACATTTCTCAGGGAGACTTTTATTCTATGTGTTTTTCTTTTACCCATTTCAGGGTCAAGCACCACTAAAACCTCACTATCAGGATGAACCAGTCTTTCCATTGCTTCTACCTCCTAATTTGGGTTGGGGAGGACAGTTGGGCAACGGAACACAGTGATTATCACACCATTCTTGCTCAATCTTCAAACTGTTAGGTTTCAGACAAGCGCACTGTGATAAACCATATCTATAACTTAAACTTGTGGGGATCTTTCTTTAAAACATGGAGATGGAAAAGGAGAGGACCTGTGCCACTCTCCTCTTGATTGCCGTGATAGGAAGGAATCATGAACAAATACAGCTATTTTTATCCTCAAAATATCCTCTGATCATTTGTCTTAACCCCACAATTCGACTTGATCTCATCACATTTTGACTTCTGGGAGGCTGCAATCCATGTTTATCTGTGCTTTCTGCATGATCTTTAATCTCTCTCTTTCCTTCATCTCTCTGCTCTCATTTTCAAACACATGTAGCTCTTTTTCTATCATAAGTTGCCATTCTCACGATCTCATTGCCTTCTCCAGAGGCACATTTTTCATTTTTTGACACCACAATGGCCTATGCAATGCTTTTTCCATTTCTTTACCACCTACTCCCTTCTGAATTTTTTGCCAACAGGCTTCTAGTCCTGCTCCCCTCCTCACCCAATATCTTTCCTTAAAACTAACAATGATCTCTTTTCTTTATTCTGTTTGATCTCTATACCACTGTCTTCTCTAAAAATTTCTTGATACAGTCTTGACCCTTGCCTTCTATAGTCTGAAATTATTCATGGTTTTCTGCCTTTCTGATGACTGTTTTTGTTTTTTATCTTTGGTTGCATTTTTTCATTCTTCTTCCCTCAAGCTGTGACCATTATTCAGGGTTCAGTCCTTGCTTGTCTGTTGTTTTTGTTTTCTTTCTAGACCAAGGCATTTTAAATTGTGTTCCTTGATCTAAAATACCTTAGAAGCTGCCACTGAGAACCCAGGGAATGGATGAAAGTGTGGACAACTGGTGCCTTCCCACTACTTCAAACAGAATAGCTCTGATTTTATCTGTTTATTTGTTCCATACTGTTTATTTTGGAGAGCTTCACTAATTTACTGAAAATTACATCAGGATCATAACACCTGAGTCTAATTTCCTATTTTACAACTATCTATATAACTTTGGACATATATTTCAAAGCATTAATAAATTTCTAAATCCAAGCTTGTGTCCTTCCCTCCACCTAAAATAAACCACTCTCCAGGTCTACTCCGCAGTACCTTTCTAATTCCTACTGATTTTTTGGTTTTCTGTCACTTCCTCCAGGAAGTCTTCTTTGAATCTGAGATCTGGGTTAGGTGTTCTTCTGACATGGTGCCATAGCATTCTAAAACAATCCTTTAACACAGTACTTATTTGGTTGTCTGTTGGTCTATATTTCCTACTAAACTGGAAGCTCGTTGAGAGCAGACTATTATTCATGATATACCTAGCTTAGGGCATGTAGTAGGTTTGAAATCCCAAGCAGAGATAATTTTATATCCAGCAAAGATACCCAAATTAGGTGACACTGCTTTCTTTTCAACTAAATATAAATAAAAAGGCATGTATCAATGTTATCTCTCATTGTGATCAAACTGCTCTCCCCATCTGCCTGCTTTCTAAGTGGCCCTGACACCTCCTTCATCTACTTTTGAATCCTGTTCACAACATCCTCACCATTTACTTTTATTGGGGAAATTATTTTATATTTCACTGATTTTTTTTTTGTCCTAAAAGAGAGATGGACTGTTAAAGATATCTACAATGACCAAGAACACATCAAACTACTAATTCATCTTGTTTTCAACTCTGTATCATTACCTCATTCTTAACAAGATTATAACATTGCACTGTTTTGGCCTAATATTAACAATATCAACTTCTAATAGTAAACAAAAATGAAAAATCTTCAAAAGAAGATTTTGAGGGCGTATCTGAGCAGTTTATAAAAAAGCATTGGTAGCTGATATAGAGATTATAACTGCCTGGTAAAGAATGTATTGCTTTAAATATTTGCTGCTTAAAATATATATATAATAACAACAAAAAATCCTAAAATAAAATCAAAGAAGAGTAATATGATGTTCACGTATATTCTGTAAATATGGCCTTAAAGAAATTCCAAACTGCTGGCATACAAAACTAGAAAGTGTAATATTACAATTCCATCTTTAATCCTAAACTGTAACATCACCCTCAGCAACCATATTAGGGTAGTTTCATCATAAGTGTCATAGGTTCCAAGAGCAAAATTACATTTCAATTCGGTGCTATTTTATTTAAGAGTTTATCATATTTTCAAACACCAAGCTAATGCAATTTAGACCCAATGAGTATCTTTTACCTCACTGCTTTAAATCTGGAATCTTAGCTTTTCACTACTATGTTTCTTCAGATTATATTAAATGGAAAAGGTCTTAAGGACGACCAAAATCAAAAATATTTTGCAATAAAGCAATCTCTGCAAAACTGATCATGGTTCATTATCTGCTGAGCAGAATTCTTGACAAATAGAACTTCAAAAAGATATTCTTGGAATAGATGTTATAAAGAAAACTCATGTATCAGAAAAGTAGCTGATTAGATGAAATTCTCTACGGCTCTAAGAGACCAAGATTTAGGTCATGAATCAATTCAAGGAAGTCGATCTGCTGACTAAGATTCTCATGTTTCTTATAACAATAGTAATATTTGTATGAAGAAAAGCCCCACAGCCAACAGGGGAGATGGTACTTACGAGTATTGTGTCAGCAGTTCCAAATCATTATGCATGTTGATTGGATATGCTTCACTGAGTTCAAACAACTTCTCTAGAGCCTCATAAATGAAAATGATGCAAATAAGAGAAGCAAAAGCTTCTTCAGTAAACCGGGTGATATAGCAGACAAGGGAGCTTGCATCAGTGGCCACAAGTATGATACACAGGGTTGCAGTCCAAAGTCCAATACTAGCTCTTAAAGATAGGTATGACAGCCCATATTCTCTAGGAGGAGGGAAAGAACATGAGAAAGAAGGTCACTGAACAGCCTGTAACCATTTTTAGTAGATGGAAATAAGTCTAATTCAGGAAGCAAAAGTAAATAAGCTTCACATCCCATGAGTATCTAAACTCAAAACTTTGTCTACAGGGAACACCTAAGGGTACAAAACTCAAAGAGGTTTCTCAGTGCTTAGAACTGAATATAATTTTTTATAAATATTACATAAAAAGTACATAAATATTTTACTATTTATTTATTTCCATGGAGAGACAAAAATGGCAAACTGAATCAAATCAGCAACTTCTACCTCTGCCAGCAGATTTCCAAATGTGAGGTTGAGAGAAGCATAAATACCGTGGAGGGATAGACAGGGACTAAGGGTGAAAAGTATATAATACTTACTTGCAAAATTTAAACAAAATCTTTTCAAACACCAAAACTGGTCCTGTACTGCCTAGTATGGTAAGAGGCTGTCCACCAAAGAGAGAATAGGCTATCCCAGTCATAGATGCTCCAAAGAGAGACTCGATTGCACTCTGTGTGGAGATATAAATGATTCTATTATCTAAGCTGTACAGGCCGCCATTATAACTGGGGGAAAAACACATAAAATACATGGGGTCTATTCTATGAAGCGCCTACTAGCAACCTTGGGCAGGAGGTGGGGTGGGAGAATTAAAAAAGGGGCAAGCCATCAAAATATGAATGGTAGTAGACAAGGATACATTATCTCCCTCTTCCTTATCTTACTTTTCTTTCACTTACTAAAAGTTTACATGTATTCACAACAAATGTCTGGCAGAAGCATGGCCTATATAAGTGGGAAATGGACCTTTTAAGGGTAAGAACCAATCTAAAGCTAGCCTAAGACTGGGGGCCAGGGATGAGATCAGAACCTTGTGTAACGTAAGAATTCTCTGTTCTGAGATATTCCACTCCCTGATTACCAGTTCCACTAGTCAAGAAATTCATATGAAGTTTATCAGCTAGTTCAGTTCAGTTCAGTTCAGTCGCTCAGTCATGTCCAACTCTTTGTGACCCCATGAATATCAGCTAGACCATACATCAAATCTCTCCTCATAAAGGAATTCAAAATGAAACGCACACTCATCTAAGTATGAATCTTAAATGCTGATTCAAATTCAAAGTTCAGAGAAAAGAATAATACATACTATTCGACCTTCAGTTGCTTCTCCCAACAGTCCTCCAAATGTGATGACAGGAGACATACATGCGCAGTAGAGAAACAGAAAAGATGCTAAACACTGCAGGCTGAAAGCATCTGTGAAGTCACTCCAGAAGTATGGAGCTTTTCTTTTGATATCTAAAATAAGTCCCCCAAAAATCCTAAGACAAGGGGGGAAAACACAATAGTGACATACAAAGATAAAAAACACATAAGTCAAAATACTCATTTGCTTTGTTGCCAGGTCACAGTATAGGTTTTCCATCAGCAGAGATGAGACCCATATTAACCTGCTAGGCTTTTCGTCATGATCTATAGGAATAGCTTTGTACCACTAAGGCACTTCAATTCCTAGCGAAAAATCGTGTCAACAACCTCAAAAACCCTGCTGCTAAGCTGCTAAGTCACTTCAGTCGTGTCCGACTCTGTGCGACCCCATAGATGGCAGCCCACCAGGCTCCCCGGTCCTTGGGATTCTCCAGGCAAGAACACTGGAGTGGGTTGCCATTTCCTTCTCCAATGCATCAAAGTGAAAAGTGAAAGTAAAGTCGCTCAGTCGTGTCCGACTCTTAGCAACCCCATGGACTGCAGCCTACCAGGCTCCTCCGTCCATGGGATTTTCCAGGCAAGAGTACTGGAGTGGGGTGCCATTGCCTTCTCCGTCAAAAACCCTAGGTTCTCTCAAACTAGGTTCTCAGCTGTTCAACAATCAAAATTCAAACAGTGAGATTTAAGGATTACTCTAATCTCTGTCCCATTTCACAAAAACCTAGTCCTAAAATCAGGCCTCTTATCCTCAGTCATTGGCAATGTTGAAATTGTTTACATTCCACTTAGTGTAGCAGAAAGTGAAGGAGGGAAGGTAAACTGATTTTTATATAGCCCATAGTGAACATCAACCTAGAGAGAGAAGGTGGTATATTAACCATGGCTTCAACTATCCACTCTCTTTGTCAAAAAAATCACTTGCCAAATAATATTTCATACAGGCACTTAAATGACCTTATGGATGACAATAATACTTAGTAGAGAGACGTAAGTTCCATTATTGTTTTCATTTTTAGAAAACTAACACAGGGGCCTTATATTAAGCAACCTAGATAAATGTACTTTTGATCCACTGTTGCTAAACATATTCAAACATCTATAATTAACAAGACAATAATGATCTTACTTGGGGTAAATGCATGTATTCTAAAAATATCAAAAACCACATTAAAAACATGTAAAGAATGATGTTTTGGTAGGAGGAGGGGAGTGGGAGAAGCATTAAATTGCAAAATGTCTAAAATCTGAGGATGAAATTTTTTAATCTATTAGGAATGAGAGCATTAAATAGGTATTCTCATTCTTTGAACATTTACTAACAACATGCAGATTTAACATTTGACTACTAAAAGCTCTTTGTGCTCTTTGGAATAGAGATATCATATTAAAATGAATAAGGCTATGATTAAGTTCCCACATGGAGGTTAAAAAAAACTATTATGTTCAACATACTGCAAGTATGCTAAATACACCTGGGTTATGGAAAAATATTAAAGGTTTGTTCTTTATTTTCTAAATAGGAATATAATGTGGCAATCTAAGAATCACTTCAAAAATGATTGTTCTCTTCAGAAGTAAATTCCTATGTGCTTTGAAAAATGTACCTCTTCAGAATAACTGAAAATTCTATTATTTTTAATTTTTAATTGCCCTGATATAGACACAATAGTAACATATTAATAACTATTTTATTATTATGTGAGTGATCGAATCATTACGTTTTCCACATCCACCAGAGGGATGTGGAGTAGGAGAGGTTGAAAAGGATGAAATTTAAATTGAAAAAAAAAAAAGGACATTTAAAATTCGGAGAAGTTTGCAAAGAACCTATGAAAATTCACACACATACACAATGATCATCTTAGTTTAGGTTCTCCTACTTGTGTTTAATAAAACACATGCATAATTTTTATTTGGGGGATCATTTCTGAACGATGTGTTAACTTCTCAAAGTCATAATTCAGAACAGATTTAATCTACTAGTCTATTTATTCATGTACTTATTTTTTACATCCCACCTAATCCCCAAAAGAATGTGAGGTAGTTATGAACGATCACTTCGAAGTTAATATTTATAGGTTTGATAGCACTTTCTATTAGACTACTGTTCTCTAATTAATTACTTAGTAGGCCATACATTAGTCTAAACAGCTGTTATATTACAGTGTAATAAACATGCTTTCAGCAGCAAAAATCTAAATCCGGAAGTGGGAGGTCACTGCAGAGAACAGTACAAGAGCAGCCCAGGTGTGCACCAGCAACTCCAGGAGAGCAGATGAGTAATGGATACTTCAAGTCCTGTCAGCAACAGAATCTGTGGAAGAACTCTGGAGAAGCGAAGATACCGGATATTGGTGACCTGGGAGGATTTAGGAAGCAGTAAGGAAAAGTGAACTTCGAAAAAAAAAAATCTAAGCTATGTGGCACGTTACACCTGAGAGAGAGAAAAAAAAAAAAAACAACACCAAAAATAAAAAGACAGCATTTGAAAATATGGAAGTAAACAGAAGGAGTAACAATGATTCCAGTAAAAGGGAAAGGGAAAAAATTGTCTGAATCATCTCAAATTAGGTATCAGACTGAGGAAGACATTTCCTTAGAGACAAAACATAGAAAAAGGGAAAGAACAGAGGAGAATTAAAATGCACAGTTGTCAGAAACTGGAGTCAGCTTAGAGGACACAGTGAGAGCAGTATAGGAGATGGCCCTGAGGGGAGGGGGGCACCAAGCCTGCAAAGTTTTTGCAATTGCCTTCAATTATAACGGAGGCTGTGTGCACATATTCCCTGAAGAGAGGCCCACCCAAAGGTTTCTGATTTTCTGCTCACACATTTCTTGGAGAGAGACAAGCTGTCAAAAAAAACATAAAGAATCATTTTAAGAAATAAATTGGAGCTTTCATCTCTTCAAAGATGTGTGATTAGAAAAATAAGTCATATAGCTCTTTCAGATTACTATCATAAAAATAAAAAATATTATTATATACATCCTACTTGCTTGTAATGAGACAGGGTCTAGAAGACTGAGTTCTTGGTATTTATTTTCATTTCCATCTTGAACTTGAAATTTTCAACAGGCTCTTTTGGAAGGGGCAACTGACAGTTTTCTCATTCATTCTAAGAATCTGTGAATGTGTTTTATGCATAGCAATGTGAAAGACTATGTATATAAAATGGAATGGTGTATTCACTGTTCTGGTTTAATAATAATGACAATCATTAATGACGAGATATCAAATTTATTAGCGTATTTACCCCCAAAGAGTAGGTATTCAAAGTATAAAAACAAATTAGTCCTCAAAACAGTAATTCCCAACACAAAAGTGATATACCATTTGGTCTTTGAAGTCCCATACAAGGGCTTTTCACTAACCTTCCGGTTCGCTGGAGTTCAGGTCCACTATGTCCTCCATGGGGCTCAGCTTCCCCATGAGCTGCTGTTCCATTTGGTACAGCAGGAATCTTCCTCTTCTCCTGTGGGAAGTTTTTTTGTTTTTTAATTTCAGGTGCTAGTTGTAAACAATAAAAACAATTTTTTCCCTTGCAATATACAGAGCAGTTAAGAATCCAGGCTCTGTACTTATTTGCTATACAACCTCTAGAAAGTTGCTTAGCCACCTAAAGCCTTAGTTCTCGCCTCCTTTTACTGGTGATAACTCTTGACGGTAAAGCGTCTGCCTGCAATGTGGGAGACACGGATTCGATCCCTGGTCAGGGAAAATCTCCTGGAGAAGGAAATGGCAACCCACTCCAGTACTCTTGCCTGGAAAATCCCATGGACGGAGGAGCCTGGTAGGCTACAGTCTAAGGAGGGAGCAAAGAGTCGGACATGACTGAGACTTCACTTTCACTTTCCATTGAGAGAATGAAATGAGGTTGAGGAATACTTATTCTTTCTTTCAACGAATATTGAGTGCCTAGTGTGTGCCATTCATTTTTATGGGATGCTACAGATGCAAAAGTGAGCAAGAAAAAACATTCTGTTAGTGGAGACAAAATAAACCTATAACGTCAGGTAGAGATAGAGATGATATAGCGGATTCTCCAGGCAAGAAAACTGGAGTGGGTAGCCATTCCCTCCTCCAGGGGATCTTCACTACCCAGAGAGGGTAAAGAACTTGCCTGCAATGCAGGAGACCTGGGTTCAATCCTTGGGTCCAGAAGATCCTTTGAAGAAGGGAATAGCTACCCACTCCAGTATTCTTGCCTGGAGAATTCCTTGGACAGAGGAGCCTGGTGGGCTACAATCCATGGAGTTGCAAAGAATCGGACATGACTGAGCGACTAACACTCTTAACTACTATTCTGAGATAGAGATCCGAAAAAAACTAAAACAAGAAGGGGTGAGAGGAGACTGGGATTAAGATAGGCTGAGGTAAGGAGGTGTTAATAGTGGTATAGGCCTGGTCTAGTTCAACTGTTCCATGAACATTAACTGCTATCATTAGCTTTTTTTAAAGTATGTTTCCCTCTCTGATTCTGGCTCATATCTTCCTACCCAAGCTTCTTCCCAATATAAAGCAATCAGAAAGACTACTGCAAAAGGAAGCTTCTAATTGAGCCAATGACAAAATACTGAGGTTGTGTAAGTGCTGTTTCTCTACAGGTCTATTCCACCCACTTTTGTCAGTGACAGAGAGTTTAAAAAATCAGAAAAGCATTCCTACTGGTGATCTTAGAGCATATCGATGTGCTCAAAAGTGCTTAAAGGGAAAAAAAAATTAATGGTGAAATTAAATTTTTTACTTAACTGCCATTCCAAAATAGTGTAAGCATATAAACATGTTCTTCATGCTTAGTGTAAAGTGGGAATTATCACATGATCTTATTACAATGGGACAGTTAGATAAAATGGTACAGATTTAAAACATGACAAAAATATTTTGAAATGCAAAAAATATAGGAAAGTTCACTGACTGAATTTTATAACTTCCCAGGTATATAAATAAATACAATGAACTTAAGTTCAAAGATAAAAGACAGTATGTCTGTCAACAGATGAAGGAGCTGCCTTTACAGGTAAATAACTATCATATGTTAGTAAAGGGCTTTAACAGTGGCCCTTAATACCCTCAATACCCAATAATCACCTGGGAAAACATTTCTTAGCAAGTCTAAGAAGGCAAGTGGTATTATTTGTTCTTCTGGGGAATTATCCCTTACTGCACACATCAATTCATTGTTTTACAATGGGAAAAGCTATTTGCCTTATACACTGATAAAGCAAATGATAAACCATGAAAGATATTCATCATTCTAAAGTACCTATTTCCTCAAGGAGTGCCTTCTTACAGTAGGGAGAAAGGGTTTATAAAAAATAATTGGGTACTGGTGAATATTCTGAGGGAAATATGGGAAATTTTTTTTGTTTTTCAGACTTGACTGACAAGGACCCACTGTACAACACAGGGAACTATACTCAATATCTTAAAACAACCTAGAATGGAAAATAATTTTTAAAATAATATATATACACATATATATGTATATTTATGTGTATATGTATAAAACTGAATCACTGTTATACACCTGAAACAAATACATTGTAAATCAACTATATTTCAATAAAAATTAAAAGTAAATAAATATTTGTTTCTGAGCTTTTTCTGATATCTTCAATCTGAATTACTGGAAGGAAACACTGAACAGATCTGCTTCTTCCTTTTGGGGATTGAGAGAGGTTTCATAGATTTAATAAGATCCCCAAGATATCCATATTTATGTAGCATTATGTACATGCCAGATTCTAGAGACAGTTATGATGTTAAACTTATTTTTCATGTGCAGAATTTATAATAATAGAGAAAAAAATAAAGAAATAAAAATGATGGAAAAGCAAAAATTTAGAGCATACTAAAGGGATCTGTGAGGTGTGAGGAGGAAGAAATGGCAATGATAAACAGAGTGGTCAGGCAGGCTCAGAGAGAGTGTCATTTGAGAAAAACTTGAGGGAGTCAAGAGAATTAGCCATAAAATAACTGGGGGAACATCCAGGCAAAGAACAGCCAGTGAGTAGGATAGTCTTAAGGCAGGAGTGTGATGCAGAGATTGAAGAATAAGGAGGCAGGAGGCCAAGGAGAGGAGTGAGCAAGAGAGAAAGAGATGGGAGATGACTTAGAGGTGGGAGATGACTTAGAGGCAAAAGGAAGCCAGACTGTGTTGGTTTAGTAGATCATTTTTAGTATTTGGCTTTTATTCTCAGTGAAACGTGGAGTTTTTGCAGGATTTTAAGGAAAGGAGAGCATGATCTAACACTCTGTCTGCTGTGTCAAGAACAGATTCTAGGAACCAAGAGTAGAAACAAGGAGACTGGTTAGGGGGCTATTTCAGTAACCCAGGAGAAAAATGATGGTAGCTTGGAGCAAAAGAACTGATGACATAGGGGATAAAGAGGGAATTGGTGGGGTGATCTCTTTGAGTAGGTATGAAGAGATGGGATCTACTGCACAGGTAGAAAACTGACTTTGGATAATTCATTAATAGTAATATAGGAACATGCAGAGAATGTAGGTGCAGGCAGGAGTAGATAAATGTGGTTTGGGGAATCTAAGCAGGTAAATGGCATGAGAGAAAAGCAAGGAAGTTAAGGGTATACATAAGGGAGTGATTATAATGACTGACATAAAGTTCTGGTGAGTATTTTCAGGGGTATCCCTTGAGGTGACTGGTTATTATTCTCTTAACTGAAAGTAAGAAATATTTTTTAAGAATACTGTGATTTACACATTTCTGGAAGAATAAAAACCATGGAGATTATCCCAGAGAGGAAAATATTTGAATGAACATGAATTCAGTACTTAATTTATTTTGATTCATTTTGCTCCACTTCATAAAAGAAAATAGTTTCATAGTATCTATTATTCAATTCCAACATACATTTAAAAGATAGTAATGTTGTAAAGAAACACAGAGCATATCTAATTCAAACTCATTATATAAAATTGTGTTGTCTAACATGATAGCCACTAACTACAAGTGGCTATTTAAATTTAAATTAATTAAAATCAAAAATTCAGTTCCTCACTTGCATAAGCACATTTCTAGTGCTGAATAGTGTCTTGACTTAATAGATAGCATAGATATAGAACATTTCTATCATTGCAGAAAGTTCTATTGGACACACTGATATATAACATCAGTAGAGAGGTTACAGCATCTGTTTAAGGTAATAAAAAAAGATAGTATCAAAACCCAGGTCCCGTGATTCTTAGTTCAATGTTCTTTCTCCTGTTGTTGTCATTGTTTAGTGTCTAAGTCATGTCTGGCTCTTTTGTGAGTCCATGGACTATAGCACGCCAGGTTCCTCTGTCCATGGGATTTCTTAGACAAGAATACCAGAGTAAGTTACCGTTTCCTTCTCCAGGAAACCTTCCTGACCCCAGGGAATGAACCCGAATCTCTTGTACTGGTGGCTTCCCTCATAGCTCAGCTGGTAGAGAATCCTCCTGCAATGCAGGAGACCTGGGTTCAATCCCTGTTTTGGGGAGATTCCCTGGAGAAGGGAAAGGCTACCCACTCCAGTACTCTGTACTGGAGAATTACATGGACTATGCAGTCCATGGGGTCGCAAACAGCCGGACACGACTGAGTGACTTTCACTTCACTTCAATTCACTCTTGCATTGGCATACTGAGCCTACTGCTTCTCAATACCCAGACTCCAGCATCCAACAATTAATGCTGGTCTTAAAGTCTCACAAAAATTAATTTTGGCTCCCATGTCTCCACTTGTCTCAGAAACATCATTTCTGAAAGGCAAGGTGTTTCCAAAACTGCTTGACTTTAGTTTTAATGTTTGAAAAACAAATTAGTGTTAACAAGTGACTTTAAAACTCTTACATTCAGCATATTAATATTTTTACTAATATCAATCGAAGAGATTCTTTCTTACTACTTTAAGAAGCATTATACTGTCTTTATTAATACTGTTAGTGTGAGGATATATACAAGTACAAAATAAGACAATCTAAACCCTTAAAATTACTCTTTAAGCAACTTACTAACTTTAGTAGTACATCAACTGAAATTATGTGATTGAGACTATAGAATCCCAGACTATAGAATCTCCTCTGAGAAAAGAAGAGCAAATAACCTTCAATAATTATAAAATAACTTCAGGATAGAAATGTAGAAATGAGCCATCAGTAGAGTTTCCTTCATTAATAGCGGGTTTGAGATGACTTTTTAAAAGACTCATAGTTGAGTCTTTTACTCAGTCAATTTACCCATCTCTGGCTAACCAGAAAAACATCTATGCCTAGAGCTGGGTCAATTAGGCCATCTGTTACTTCAGCTAAGGCAGCAGAGTCAACTACAAACGCAGCTGTACTCCACAGGGACCAGAGCCAAAGGCAAGAGTGAGTAGAGGACAACAGGGGAGCTATAGGAGGCAGGTTCACTAGGAACAGAGACAGCAATATCAGTGGGCTTAAAAACATGTGGCCACTACCCTCAACAAAGTCATGCCTGCAATAAGAAAATGACCTCAAACAGTATCAATGGTCTTTATTTCTTTTTTTGTTGTTTGTTTTGTTTTGTTTTTTTCCGTTTATTTTTATTCGTTGGAGGCTCATTACTTTAGAATATTGTAGTGGTTTTTGCCATACATTGACATGAATCAGCCATGGATTTACATGTGTTCCCCATCCCAATTCCCCCTCCCACCTCCCTCTCCATCCCATCCCTCTGGGTCTTCCCAGTGCACCAGCCCTGAGCACCTGTCTCATGCATCCAACCTGGGCTGGTGATCTGTTTCTCCCTTGATAGTATACTTGTTTATGCTGTTCTCTCTAAACATCCCACCCTCGCCTTCTCCCACAGAGTCTAAAAGTCTGTTTTATACATCTGTGTCTCTTTTTCTGTTTTGCATATAGGGTTATCATTACCATCGTTCAATGCAATCCCTATCGAGCTACCAACGGTATTCTTCACAGAACTAGAACAAATAATTTCACAATTTGTATGGAAATACAAAAAACCTCGAATAGCCAAAGCAACCTTGAGAAAGAAGAATGGAACTGGAGGAATCAAACTGCCCGACTTCAGGCTCTACTACAAAGCCACAGTCATCAAGACAGTATGATACTGGCACAAAGACAGAAATATAGATCAATGGAACAGAATAGAAAGCCCAGAGATAAATCCACGAACCTACAGATACCTTATCTTCGACAAAGGAGGCAAGGATATACAATGGAAAAAAGACAACCTCTTTAACAAGTGGTGCTGGGAAAACTGGTCAACCACTTGTAAAAGAATGAAACTAGAACACTTTCTAACACCATACACAAAAATAAACTCAAAATGGATTAAAGATCTAAACATAAGCCCAGAAAGTATAAAACTCCTAGAGGAGAACATAGGCAAAACATTCTCTGACATAAATCACAGTGGGATCCTCTATGACCCACCTCCCAGAATATTGGAAATAAAAGCAAAGTAAACAAATGGGACCTAATGAAACTTAAAAGCTTTTGCACAACAAAGGAAACTATAAGCAAGGTGAAAAGACAGCCTTCAGAATGGGAGAAAATAATAGCAAATGAAGAAACAAAGGATTAATCTCAAAAATATACAAGCAACTCCTGCAGCTCAATTCCAGAAAAATAAATGACCCAATCAAAAAATGGGCCAAAGATCTAAACGGACATTTCTCCAAAAAAGACATACAGATGGCTAACAAACACATGAAAAGATGCTCAACATCACTCATTATCAGAGAAATGGTCTTTATTTCTATCTGCATTGTATGCAAGTAAAATGCACATCAGATTTTTACATGGAGAACTTTTACAATTTTCATACCACATGCCCACACAAAGGTAATACAAACATAAGAATTATGAAAAAAATTCTTGAAATCATAAATGTGATTAACGACAATAATAGGGAGTTTTCCATACAAAATGACAACCATGCTTTTGAATTTTCCTTACATTTACCAACTTCAAAGCTATGTATCTGAGTATGGCGAGTCTGTAATGTGCTTTTCTTAAGCATATTTTCCATCCTCATTAAAATTTGAGTTTTCCTTCAGTATAGTATGCTTTAAGGTGGGCCTAAAATCTCTTCAGGCATGCGGTACTGATACTTAGTAAAGTATCATCGATACACCAAATTTGTGTTTAATACAAAGAAGGAAGATTTTGTGTCAGGGAATTTCATGTCCCTGCCTTCTTAGAGGTTAAGTAGGTTCTGGTACCCTGGTTGCTCAGACAGTAAATCTGCAGGCAATGCAGGAGACTTAGTAGGTTCACTCCTTGGGTCGGGAAGATCCCCTGGAAAAGGAAATGGCAATCCACTCCAGTATTCTTGTTTGGCAAATCCCACAGACAGAGGAGCCTGGTGGGCTACAGTCCATGGGCTTGCAAAGAGTTGGACGCAACTGAGCAACTAACACACACCAAATCAAATGTGGTGGGAAATTTAACTCAATTCTGACACCACATACCAGGAAATAGCATTATTATAGCTCAGCCCTGGAAGACTACCCCTCACACCCCATTTCAGATGCCCGTCACAAGCTCAGGTTATTGCTGGTGCTCCGAATCCACTGGAGATATATCTGAGGCTCCTGTGAACCCCTTCTCAGGTTGGACTAATTTGCTAGAATGGCTCATAGACCTAGAGAAACGTTTTATTTACTTGATCACCAGTTTTATTACTTAAGGATATAACCCAGGAACAGCCAGATTGAAGAGATGCATAGGACAAGGCATGGGGAAAGGGAGAGAAACTTCCATACCCTCTCTAGGCACACCACTCTTTGCAATCTCCACCTGTTCACCAACCTAAAAACTCTCTCAACCTTGCCCCTTTGGGGGTTTATGGAGGCTTCATTACACAGGCATATGATTGATTAAAGCACTGGCCATTGGTGACTGAACTCAAACTCCAGCCCCTCTGCCCTCTCCCTTCCCTGGAGGCAGGAGGGTGGAACTGAAAGTTCCAAACTCTAATCTCTGGTAAGGCTCCACTGGCAATCAGCCCCCATTCTTAAAACAGTTTCTAAAGTAACCTCATTAACATAACAAAGGCATCTTTGTTGCTTTCATCACTTAGAAAATTCCAAGCATTTTAAGAGCTCTGAGCCAGAAATAGGAACAGAGACCAGATAAATATTTCTTATTATGATCACATCACAGAAGTTACAATTTAAATCATTTGAATCTTCGGTTATACTATCTTAGTACATATATTTAAAAGGCAAAAAAAATGATGGTAGTCCTAAGAGTATTTTCCTATATACATACCTGGGAAGGAACGTTTTTGGGAGGCTCTATTCGAATGCTTGGATCCCACTCTCCAGGAGGGAGAACAGTAACCTGATCCAGAAATTCGTCAATTCCTGATACCAAGTCATTACGATCTTTTGCTTTGTAAGCAACATCATGAAATACCTATAGAAAGAAAATAACTATTTATAGATTTAAAAAAAGGGTCTAAAATCTTAATGCATTTTGTGCTTTCATTTCCCAGTTAGCACACATGTGATTATAACAATTTGAATAGGAACCTCTCTAACTAAAGAAGTTTTAGTGTAAAATATTCTAACCTCTTTTATTCTATGATTGCACAGATGTTTATCTTTTCTTAGAATGCTAGATGAATGTTGAAATTTCTGGTGTAAAGAGAAAAAGAAGGAAAAGGAGAATAGAAGGAAGCTCATTAAGCTAGAATTAATGATTCAGGTTTGACAAACATTGTTTATATATGTAAATCAAACTTTCTGAAAGAAGCCCTTGCTTTAAAATAAGAGATAAAAGTTTATAACAATATTTATACCATGGCATAAAATAATGCTATTGAATAAATGATGGACTAATCAAAAAATAGTACTAAGCCAAGTAATTATCTATATAAAAGTAAAACAGGATCTTAACCATATCCCACTTAAAAAGCAATTCTAGGTATTAAAAACTTAAATATGAGCATTAAACTATTAAATTAATTGGACATATGTAGAAGGATATATTTATGACCTCAGAGTAAACAGTAATACAAATCTCAAAGATTTAGTGTAGTGTCAAAACAAGCACATAACCAACTTTTGCTGTTCTTCAAGGAGAAAAAAACTACGTGTTCAGTAATATCAAATGCCAATAAGATTAAGTGACATGAGTACTGAACATAAGATAGTATATTTTGTAAATGATGACCTTACAGAAAGCAATTTCAGTAGAGTGGTAGTGACAAAAATCAGACTGTAATACATTGAGATAAATGAAATTATGATATTCAGGACCAAGTAGAGATTACTCTTTCAAAACTCTTAAGATTCAGGTTCAATCAACACTTCAGTGGGACATGCTATGTTAAGGAGTAAGAAATCTGAAGGATGGGAAAATCCTGGCCTTTTATTTCATATGTATTTTCTAAGTAGCTACTATGTGTTAGGCCTGTTTGCTAAATGAACCAAAGGAGTCAGTGTTGACTTAGCTAAGTGACAGAGAGAGAAAACTGTTGACACAGAAATCCAGAACAAGAAAAATAAAAGTAAAGGTTCTTTTGTTTTTGCTTTTGGTCTTCTAAAACTATGTTATTTATGTTAATATACAATTACTTTATTATTATTTTAAAGTCAATTCACAAATATATTTTTTAAAATTCTCATTTTTAAGTTCTCATAAATATCAGCATACTATCAATATAAACAAAAGCTCTTTGGAGTGCTTAATAATTTTTAAGACTATAAAGGGATTAATAAATTGGTAATAGTGCCAATAAACAAAATCATATGATTGATCTCTAGTCATGCTCAACAGGAAGGGAGAAAAGAGGCTAGCTTAATTCAAGATAAGGTGTTGCTAGGATGACTAGAACATTCAGTCATTAATTCATTAAAAAAAAATCTATTGAACCCTGACTGAAGGTCAGACACCATGCTAAATAAGAAGATACAAAAGGAAAAGAGTCTACCTACAAGAAGTCCCCAGTACAGAGAGGAAAAGAACTACTTAGTCAACAAATAATTATTTGAGCACCTGACAAAATCAAGGAACAAAAATGAATATTAATGGTAACTGCTCACATGGAATTTATAGCTTAATAATGAAATTCAATTCATCATTTTCTTAAATTGTTTGAATCAACATATTGAATTTTATTCTTGAGTATAATTGTTCAATGTATTTCAAAGCAGTTAGATGGCAGAACAATTTCTCCACCTGAGCTTTGAACAATAAAAACTTTTTATTTCTTTTAAAAGTATTTAAATTTTCTTTTAATATATTCAATGAATGTACTATCATAATTAACATATCCTATTATAATTAACAGCTCTCATCTTTTGCAATAACTTTCTGGCTGAGTTTCCTCTTCTCTATTTCACTCCTCATAGAGAGTTACAAATTGCTCCAAGTTAAACTAAACTTTCAAGTCTAAAGGATTCATGTTTGAACCTTCATTCAAGGGCTGATTTGTTGTTGTTTAGTTGCTAAGTTGTATATATAGGAAATGTTTAGTTGCTAAGATGTATATATAAGAAACTAATACTCTCTTTAAGTTGGTTCTTTCTAAAACAGATGAAAAAATTGGTTTTATTCTAACTTTTGATTTCCTATGTGTAAATATCAATAACTAACTCATATATAAACCAATAAACATAATTTGAACAGATATAATAGAAGAATTTACATTGAACTCCAAACATAAGTTCAAATTTTCAGATTTTATAAACCTAGGAAAAGTTATATATAATACTAATTAGTTCTTTTCATAGATTTTCAAGTATTTCAATAATTATTAAATTATTTAGATGAAATTTCAGAAATGTATAATCTCATTTGGTATTTACTACTGAATTTTGAATTTATGTCACTTCCGTGATTTTTGCATCTGCTCTTCTTTTACAATAAAAATAGATTTTTGCAAGGCATTGTAGAATCCAAGAAACCAGTTATATGATATGATATTTTATGTTTATTTTATGATCTTATATTTTTGAGACATATTTCTTTGAGAAGCTGACAAAAGCTTTTCCAGTCCAAAAAACTACATACAGTGTTTTTACACAGAAAAAATTCTGTGTTGAGTCAGAGATCACAGGCCTCCTTGAAATCTGTCTTCAGCTCCTCTAATGGTTAAAACGCTCCAAGGTTAAAAACATCTACATTTAGGCAATTACAAGGAGAGCTGATAGATGTCTTACGGCTTTTGGTGTCATGTATACTATCGAGATAAACTGCCTCTTTTATTTTTTGAGACCTTAAAATATTGCCCCAAACAAGACCTGCAATGATATTAACAATGGTGCTTACTTTGGCAACACAAATGCTATTAAGGGAATATTAATAAATACACTCTAAATTCACTAAATAACAGATTTTCTTTAAAGTATAGGGTTTTAAAATGTCCATGTGTGTGAATTTATTACCCCTTTGAACAAATTTTTCCAAGGGAAATTTTATAGTAGAACCATTTAAAGAGGAATTCAATACAGAGAAATGTGATTCACAGTAAACTGTCATGAATACAGAACTCCAAAAGTTAGGTGTACCTAGTAGGGGGAAATGTTCCCAATGAACTTGAATAAATACCTCATCTGTCATTAAGGTTGCAATTGATCTGCCAATCTCATGGTACTGTTGACCCTTTCCCAGGGGTCCCAGAAGAATGAACAAAAATCTGTAATGAAGAAGAAAAAAACATATGTTTCAAGGAAAAATAAAAAATAATTTAAGTAGTGCAACATCACTCATCTCAAAGGAATTACTGAAGATACCATTTTGATGTAAATTATTTCCATATTTTTCCACAGGTTATTATTACATATTTTAAAATATTTTATGTTTAAAAGTGACTCATGCTTAAGATCCTCGAGCAGTTGGAATCTGGGGTATTTTGCTGTTTCTTTCTTTGTTACCTATAATGCCTACGCAGTTAGTATGAATTTTAAGGATTCTATAATTCTTATAGGAGAAAGTTAAGAAAGATAGAATCTGATTAAATCTTCTTGAATTGTAAGACAGAGAACTCACTATCACATATGTAAACTGTTGAATTAGGTAGAAGAGGGGAATGGCAATATAGTAGTATAAGCAAAGAAAGAATATATGGTTAAAAAAACAGTGGGTATGTGCAAAATTTACATTAAATAGAAAAAATGATTGCCAGGAATAAAAAATTAGATAGAATTTTTTAAAAATCCGTTAATTCCAATGCTGGAGGAATAATAATAGCAGCTGCACTGTGATATTCCATCTATATAAGGTTGAAAATCTAGCAAATTCATTGTCACAATGGGAAATTTTGAAGAAATCAACATGTGTTTTAACTTTGGAGGACCAATTACTCTCCTGTCTCTGAAAAGGTCAATTCTACAAGGAAATTATGAGAATTTTAAGATGCCCTCTATTCCATAATATAACTACAGCATTCACTTGTTAGATGGTTTTTGCTTTTAAGTATGAAGACTAATGACTTTATAAGGTATACTGAAATAGATGTCACAATTACACTTTCCATTCAGTTATAAACTTTAGAGACTGTACACATTTTTACAGGATGCATATATTGCAGTCTTAGAGGATCTGACATTAACTTTTTGTGTCAGTTGTAACTGAATCCAATTCTACTATACAGAAATGTCCACTATACATTTAAAACAGGAATAATTTAGTGTGGTGGCAGATGCTTTACTAACTATAGTACTTTTAAGAAATTACCTAACCTATGTACATCTTACTATTTTCACATTTCTATTCCATGGACTATTTATAAATCCTAAAATTATTTTCTGGTATTTTTACTATGCGTTACTGTTATATACACAGTGTGCCCTTTTGTCCTCCTAAGAAAGGATAATTAGGAACCTTGAATGGCTTTCTTTATTCTATTTGTCTAACTAATCTTCTCCCATTTTTCACCTTTCCTAACTAAACAGTCTAGCCTTTTAAATCTCTCCTTATACTGTGCCTCTATCGTGCCCCTAATTTTTCCTCCACTGTTCTCTAGACACATTTTGCTATGTCAGTATGAAATGGGGTCACTTAAACCTTGACAGTTTTCAAAGTGAGGGTATATAACCCCATTATGGCTTTTCTCTACTCTTGGGAATTTTTTTTTCTTTCCTTTGAAATACAAGAGCTATCATTGTCATAAATAACCATCATTTACTCAGTGTTCATCGGACACCTTCTTAGCTGGTGGAACAAGAATGCACTCCTTGGAGCACTGCTTGGAAGACACAAAGGAATTTTAATCTACTAAAATAATATCGCTATGGTTAGTAAATTTCACATGTTAAATCTGAATCCCAAATTCCCAGAAATTCTGAATAGATTACAGGGTGTATACGGAAAAATGCAGTCTTAATCATATGTCAAACATCACCTTAATGTGTTCAGTTCATCCTTCTCCTTTTTAATAAAACTTGGTATGCATCAGAACCCTTGGTAGCCCTTCAGATGAACAGACACACTTCTCTCTATAACTTGAATTATTAGCTCGTTTCCTGCCTCAAATCTTTTCATCCACAGGTTCAGATAGAGGTTCTCAAACACTGAATCCCTTTCCAGTCAGCTGAGCTCTAATGAAATGAGGCCTCTCCTAATTAAGCTATTCTATATTTTTGCAATATCATAGCCACAATCAAAACACAGAGTGATATAATTGGCTATGTTTTGAGTTAAGGCTGAAAGGTTCATAGAAGAAACATTCTACCAACCCAGTTAGCACAGCACCTGAAATTATCATCAGTTTAACTTGACTAAGACCTTCAATGTTTGGAAGAGAAGACAATTAACAGCATCTGAGACAATTATATACTGTGTCACGCTTAGTTGCTCAGTCATGTCTGACTCTTTGTGACCCCATGGACTGCAGCCCATCAGGCCACTCTGTCCTTGGGGATTCTCCAGGCAAGAATACTGGAGTGCATTGCCATGCCATTCTCCAGGGGATTTTCCCAACCCAGGGATCGAATCCAGGTCTCTTACATTGCAGGTGGATTCTATACTGACGGAGCCAGCGGAGAAGCCCAAGAGACAATTATGGCATCACACAAAGGGCACCCGTCATGAAGGAAACGGGGCCACACAAAGATAAGTTTTGCTGCGGCAACAGGATCAGAGTGAAAGCCTGTCTGCACACAGGAATCACATTTGATGGAGGGAGAAGGGAAGAAAACAAGGTCCCCTAGAGGAATTGCTAGGAATGTAGTGTGGCCAATATTCATTTTTCTTCACAAATTTGCCTAGGGACAGTCTTATCTCTATAACATGGAGATAAATAATAAATAACAAAATTCAGTTTGTATTATGACAAAGTTGTTAGTTTTTATGTGCACCTAAATGAAAAACAAGTTCAGGTGATCAAATTAAATTTGTCCTTTTGATTCAGATTAAACCACAGTAACTACCAATGATTCTTAAGACTTTATGTATAGGAACTATACTATGACTAAGATTAAAACATATAGTATGTAAGATACAGCAGATAGTATCCTAATGATGGCACTTAAGCATAAACCAAGCCTTGAAAACTTTGATCTTTTCAAATATGGTCATACTCATATACAAGATCCATGCATGCGTGCCTGCTAAGTTGCTTCAGTCGTGTTCAACTCTTTATGACCCTATGGATTGTAGCCTGCCAGGCTCCTCTGTCCGTGGGATTCTCTGGGCAAGAATACTAGAGTGGGTAGTCATTCCCTTCTCTAGAGAATCTTCCTGGTTCAGGAATGGAACCCGCCTCTTTTTGTCTCCTGCACTGGCAGGCAGATTCTTTACCACTGGCTCAGACCGTAAAGAATGCCTGCAATGCAGGAGACCCAGGTTCCATCCCTGGGTGGGGAAGATCCCTTGGAGAAGGGAGTGGCTACCCACTCCAGTATTCTTGCCTGGAGAATTCCATGGACAGAGGAGCCTGGGGGCTCCAGCCCATGGGGTCACAAAGAATTCCACAGGACAGAGCGACAAACACTCACTTTCTTTAACACTAGCGTCACCTGGGGGGTCGCTCAGTCGTGTCCGACTCTTTGTGACCCCATGGACTGTAGCCTACCAGGTTCCTCCATCCATGGGATTTTCCAGGCAAGAATACTGGAGTGGGTTGCCATTTCCTTCTCCAGGAGATCTTCCCAACCCAAGGACTGAACCCAGGTCTCCCACATTGTAGTCAGACGCTTTACTGTCTGAGCCACGTGGGAAGTCCCATAGTCTAATGCAACCTTTGAGAAAAGCCTAATACTTTATCACTTTTCACCAAAAGTGTAAGATGGAGTTCCAGTATTCTGGCCCAGAGAATGATTATATACCTTTCGAGGGATTCCCTGATAGCTCAGTTGATGAAAAGAATCCTCCTGCAATGCAGGAGACATCAGTTCAATTCCTGGGTCGGGAAGATCCCCTGGAGAAGGAATAGGTTACCCACTCCAGTATTCTAAGGCTTCCCTTGTGGCTCAGCTGGTAAAGAATCCGCCTGCAATGCGGGAAACCTGGGTTCGATCCACCCCTGCATTGGGAAGATCCCCTGGAGAAGGGAAAGGCTACCCAAACCAGTATTCTGGCCTGGATAATTCCATGGACAGTATGGTCCATAGGGTCGCAAAGAGTTGCACATGAGTGAGAGATTTTCACTTCACTTCATGATGATATAGACCAGGGTATTCAGAGATAAGGAGCACGCCTAAAAGGAAACATAGAAATTTGAGAAGAAAGAAAGAACAGAACAATTTTTAAAGCACTTTTTGCCCTCCTCCACAAAGAAGAAACAAGTTTTGTGGATTATACTTTAGTTTCAAGAAAAAAATTCTCAGAGGAAATTATATTTACACCTTTTTCCCCCCCACAAAAAAATGGCTTAAGAAAGTGCAAAATATGCTCATACTTTTTACCTGGTTGGGATTGGGACCTCAGCTAATCCTTGAAGCAGTACAGCTGGGGACAACCTGACAAATGCAACTACAGTTCTATCCAAAAACTCCAATTCCCCAACTAAGATGTTTGAAGCTTCAGCACCTGGAGGAATCTTCTTCATAAAATGCAGATCAACCTGAGAGCATCACAAAATAAAATAAATCAAAATTGGAAAAATTTGTTAAATTATTCCTAGCAGAGTACTTCACACATGGTAACCCATCATTAAATATAGTTTAAATAAATATAGCTTATAAAAGTATTATTTAAATCAAATTTAAAATAGTTAAACATCTTTCTTGCCCTTTAAAAATACTTTTTTCTTTTGCTTCTGTATTTTTGGAATTTGTTAATAATACATTGAATACTCCAGTTTTCTGCTCAATACTTTTCAAAGATGCTTTTCAGCATCAGTAATCTTGAAATTTTCAGGGAGAAAAGATGATGTGTTCAATTAAATGCATATACTCTAATCATAATTTAATTAGCATTTGCCAATATATTTAAATATTTGTATACTACATTATCTTAATTTTGTACATAATACATTTCAATTAATTAGTATATAAAATATGCCTATTTCAAAAGAAATATAATCAAAATTTTCCTTATAATATAAATTATGACTTTAGTCTTCAACTTTATCTTAATTGTTCTATATCCTTCACATTTTATAGTTGTCCTGATCAATCTTCAAATTTAATTTCTCATCAGAATATTTAGATATGGCAGAGTAAAGGAAACAAGAATAAAAATATTAACATTTGGAGTTGCTGAAGAGCCACAGTTGAATTTCTGATATGAGATGTCTATGACTGAAATGAATGCACACAAAACAAATCCATCATTAATAAAAGAAATGCTTAAAGGGTGAAGTCTGAAAATGAATATAAAATATTCTTAAGAATAACTATCAATTCTCATATAGAGAGCCTCAGTGAAAACCAAGTAGTGATTTTTAAAGTCACTTTTACAAAGCCTATTTCTCATTTCTAATTCATTGAGTTGCTTTTAATGGAAACCTATCAGTGGGTAATAATGATTGCTGTAATAATTCTTTCTATGCTCCTAATGAAATAGAGACTAAAGACCAAAGTGGGAATAGGAGAGAGTGAGGCAGAGAGAAGGAAAAGAAAGAGAAAGAGAAAGAAGGAGAGGGAGGGATGAGAAGATGAGAAGGAAGTGGAAAGGAAGAGAGGAAAAATAAGAGGAGAAAGAAGAGAAAGACGGGGGTGAGAAAAGAGCTCTGACAAATACATGAGGTCAACAAGACTTTTGGGGGGGCCAGATACTCCTGTTTAATGATTTTAGAATTTTTTTCAAGCAGTTTAAAATGAAAAAAAATTAAAACTTTTAGGAGAAATAACTTAGGAAGTCCATAGCCAGACTATAGTGACTATATTAAATTTGCTGCTTTCTGAAATCAAGACCTCAGCACACTTGTATAGAAGGTTTATAACTACTTAATTTTCTGTGAGATAAGGGTGCCTCAAAACATAAAACCCATTTTATGAAATATTTATTTTATCATAAGGATTAAATATAAAAATAATCTAGTATGCCACTAAAATATCAAATAGAAGTAATGTTCTATTTTAAAGAAAAAGAAAATAATTTAACAAAGCAAAACTGCCTATAAAATTTGATGAATATTACAAATTTCAAAATTTTTAACCTATAAATATATTTCCAAATATAAATTTGTAAATTATAATACCTATACACTATTAGCTCTGTGAGAAAAACATATTAAATCTCCATAAATCTTTCAGAGCCTAAAAAAGTAAAATAAACTATTAAGTTTTTCCCCCATAGAAATATGATATTAATACACTGGAACAAAGAGAAAATGGCTTTTTAAGAAAATCTACAACTGGTAAGCAATATGAGTCATATTGGTAATATCTGTCATAACTCTAAGGAGAAGTCTGAGTTCAACCTGGAAGACTGTGTAAATTCCTTTATTCAGTATTTCCTGACATATGCCATAACCTTAACTATTGATGTCTGTGCCTCAGGCATGGGGCAACTAGACACATGACTGCTTTAAGATTTAATTTAATTAAATCAAGGAGTACCTAGTACGCTGTGTGCATGTGTGCTTAGTTGCTTCAGTCATGTCCGACTCTGTGTGACCCTATGGACTGTAACCCACCAGGTTCCTCTGCCCATGGGATTCTCCAGGCAAGAATACTGGAGTGGGTTGACACGCCCTTCTCCAGGGGATCTTCTCAGCCCAAGGATCAAATGTGCATTTCTTATGTCTCCTGTATTACAGGTGGGTTCTTTACTACTAGCGCCACCTGGGAAGCCCATCTAGTATGCTGAAATAGCTTAATATTATAAAAGAAAATACATGGTCCTTACATTTTTTTGTTGCATTATATAATACTTGATATATCACTGATTGATATACGTTACTTAGAAAATCCACTAAAATATTTAGAATTTAATTTCAGGATTAGGAAATTTACTCTGATTTAAAATGTAACAAATTATAGTTAAATAACATATATCAAAAGATGCATTATATTATTGTAATACTATATCCTAATATATATAGTATAATACTATATTATATCCTAATATATATAGTATAATACTATTCTCCAGGCCAGAATACTGGAGTGGGTAGCCTTTCCTTTCCCCAAGAGATCTTCCCAACCCAGGGATTGAACCCAGGTCTCCAGCATTGCAGAGATTCTTTGCCAGCCAGCCACAAGGGAAGCCCAAGAATACTGGAGTGGGTAGCCTATTCCTTCTCCAGTGGGTCTTCCCAACTTTTGAATCAAACTGGGATCTCCTGCATTGCAGGTGGATTCTTTACCAACTGACCTATTAGGGAAGCCCACTCTACATTATAGTACTTATTATTCTTGGACTAGTCATATATTTGGGGGTAACAGATATATATTATCTACTTATTTTATTATATTATACAATTATATATTATTCCTGGGATAGCCCTATATTTTTATATTTACGTTAACATACAATTCATAAAGAACCTTATTTGGCAATCTAACTTTTAATACAACAAAAGGTCACATTTAAGGACCACAGTTTAACTTTTTCTAAAACTACAAATATCAAAAATAGCTGAAGAATTAGGTTGACCTACATCCCTAAGACAGTCCTCAAGTGGACTCAAATACGGAATAAAGAAATCCTGGAATTTTCTGATCCTCTGAACAGAATCTTGAAGAAACCAAGCTATACTCTTATGGATCTGGACTTATACTCATGCATCTAGGGTCTCCAGACCTTTACACTAGGAAGGAAAACATGCCTTATTCTGGTTATTTGGCACTTACGTTGTGAATGAGAAACAGTCATATCTTTGGGGAAAAAGGTTAGACCGAAGATAATGGTGGAACCAGAAGTGTCTGGACAAACTACACACTAAGATGTGAAGGAAATACACATGAGTCTTTAGGGAGAAAGTTTAAGTCTCAAGCCCATTGTAGAAAGTAGAGGAAAATGAATAGAAATTCCCTGGGGAGACGCAGTCTTGTGACACTAAACAGCGAGTGATCTCTATTAGCTCTCTCAATCTGGGATTCAGTTTTCTCCCCTTCTCAATGAGATTTTTAAGGTTTCCTAGAATTCTAGGATTTTATAATGCAACAACTCTTCATATTTCATATGTTAAAGACTGATAATGAAGTGAGTTCCTTTTACATAGAAAATAATGTGGCAGTTTCTTTAAGTCACTTGAAATTAAAAGAAGCCATCAGCATTTGATCTGAGCCACTGTCAGATCATGAACTCCTTATTGCCAAATTCAGACTTAAATTGAAAAAAGCAAGGAAAACCACTAGACCATTCAGGTATGACCTAAATCAAATCCTTTATGATTATACAGTGGAAGTGACAAATACATTCAAGGGAGTAGATCTGATAGACAACAGTGGCTGAAGAACTATGGACTGAGGCTCGTGACATTGTACAGGAGGCAGTGATCAAGGCCATCCCCAAGAAAAAGAAATGCAGAAAGGCAAAATGCTTGTCTGAGGAGGCCTTAGAAATAGCTGAGAAAAGAAGAGAAGAGAAAGGCAAAGGAGAAAAGGAAAGATATACCCATTTGAATGCAGAGTTCCAAAGAACAGCAAGGAGAGATAAGAAAGCCTTTCTCAGTGATCAATGTAAAGAAATAGAGGAAAACAATAGAATGGGAAAGACTAGAGATCTCTTCAAGAAAATTAGAGATACCAAGGGACCGTTTCATGCAGAGACGGGCTCAATAAAGGATGGTATGGACCTAACAGAAGCAGAAGATAGTAAGAAGAGGTGGCAAGAATATACAGAAGAACTAAACAAAAAAGACCTTAATGACCCAGATAACCACGATGGTGAGATCACTCACCTTGAGCCAGATACCCTGAAATGAGAAGTCAAGTGGGCCTTGGGAAGCATCACTACAAACGAAGCTAGTGGAGGTGATGGAATTCCAGTTAAGCTATTTCAAATCCTAAAAGATGATGCTGTGAAAGTGCTGCACTCAAAAAAAAAAAAAAAAAAGAAAGAAAGAAAGAAAGAAAGTGCTTCACTCAATATGCCAGCAAATTTGGAAAACTCAGCAGTGGCCACAGCACTGGAAAAGGTCAGTTTTTATTCCAATCCCAAAGAAAGGCAATACCAAAGAATGTTCAAACAACCACACAATTGCACTCATCTCACACGCTAGCAAAGCAATGCTTAAAATTCTCCAAGCCAGGCTTCAACAGTACATGAACTGTGAACTTCTAGATATTCAAGCTGGTTTTAGAAAAGGCAGAGGAACCAGAGATCAAATTGCCAACATGTGTTGGATCATCGAAAAAGCGAGAGAGTGCCAGAAAAACATCTACTTCTGCTTTATTGACTATGCCAAAGCCTTTGACTGGGTGGATCACAACAAACTGTGGAAAATTCTTTAAGAGATGGGAATACCAGAACATCTTACCTGCTTCCTGAGAAATCTGTATGCAGGTCAAGTAGCAACAGTTGGAACTGGACATGGAACAACAGACTGGTTCCAAATAGGGAAAGGAGTATGTGAAGGTTGTATATTATCACCCTGCTTATTTAACTGATATGCAGAGTACATCATGTGAAATGCTGAGCTGGATCAAGCATAAGCTGAAATCAAGATTGCAGGAGAAATATCAATAACCTCAGATAATGCAGATGAAAACACCCTTATGGCAGAAAGCGAAGAACTAAAGAGCCTCTTGATGAAAGTGAAAGAGGAGAGTGAAAAAGTTGGCTTAAAACTCAACATTCAGAAAACTAAGATCATGGCACCGGTCTCATTCCTTCATGGCCAATAAGTGGGTAAACAATGGAAACAGTGAGAGACTCTGTTTTGGAGGGCTCCAAAATCACTGCAGATGGTGACTGCAGCCATGAAATTAAAAGACACTCGTTCCTTGGAAGAAAAGCTATGACCAACCTAGACAGCATATTAAAAAACAGAGACATAACTTTGTCAACAAAGTTCCATCTAGTCAGAGCTATGGTTTTTCCAGTAGTCATGTATGGATATGAGAGTTGGACTATAAACAAAGCTGAGCACTGAAGAATTGATGCTTTTGAACTGTAGTGTTGGAGAAGGCTCTTGAGAGTCCCTTGGACAGCAAGAAGATCCAACCAGTCCATCTTAAAGGAAATCAGTCCTGAATATTCATTGGAAGGATTGATGCTGAAGTTGAAGCTCCAATACTTTGGCTACCTGAGGCAAAGAGCTGACTCATTTGAAAAGACCCTGATGCTGGGAAAGATTGAAGGCAGGAGGAGAAGGAGATGACAGAGGATGAGACGGTTGGATGGCATCAGTGACTCGATGGACATGAGTTTGAGAAAGCTTTGGGAGTTCGTGATGGACAGGGAAGGTGGTTGTGCTGCAGTCCATGGAGTTGGAAAGAGTCAGACACAACTGAGCAACTGAACTGAACTGATCAACATTTGGGAAATAATAAAATAGTCATATAGTCATATATATAGTCATATAATAAAATAGTCTATGTATCAGTTTAAAAACACAACATATCTGCTTTTTAAAAGCATTATAGGAATCAAAAAAAAAAAAAAAAGAAACTGACAATTCAGATTATATTCAAAAACACTCCTAAATGAGTAAGTTTGATGGGCCTAACCACTGGAAGGGTTAAAAAATACATGGTTTGGATGTAGATAGAACATAGGATCAAGTATCATGAAATGAAAACAGACTTTTTTACAAAAGTCTTCATATTTCAAAATTCTACCGGGTTTGGAATCTACATATTAAACTTAAAATACTTAAGATAATATGTAAACTAACTGATTCACTTTGATAAATTTACTACCAGTCTGAAATCCCTAGGTTAAAAATCCTTAACTCATATACCTGCAAAATCTGACACTAAAGTCTCTTTCCATAATGATGTACCACTTTTGTTCTTTCCAAATCCTACTTCTCTACCCTTCAACAATATAAGGTAAGAAGTATTACTTTGCTGGGAGGAAAAAAAAAAAATCCAAAGCCGAAGGTTTAAATTGTCTCAAACCTCACAGGATTCATTGTACACATACAACCAAGACACTGTTCAAGACACTAAAAATCCAGTAGAGACCAAATCATATTAAATTTGGCTCTAGTGTTTACTTTTGGCACTACTGTTTCCACTAATATCAACAATACAGGAATAATAGTAGCAGCCACATTTTATTGAACACCCAAAGGGCTGGCAGAGAATTAGATGGTTAGATAGCTTCACTGACTCAACAGACATGAATCCGAGCAAACTCCAGGAGATAGTAGAGAACAGAGGAGCCTGGAGGGGTACAGTCCACGGGGGTTGCAGAGAGTTAGACAGTACTCAGCGATTGAACAGGAACACTATAAACCCAGCACTCTGAAAGGCTCTATTTTCTCATTTAATCTTCACAAGAAAATTATAAATAGGTATTATTCTTATTTTACAAATGACAAAGGTGAAGTTCAGAGAACTTCTCCAATGTCAGGTAGCTTGTAAATTGTAGAGTTAAGATCCCATACTTGTTCTCAAAAAACATGTTCTTTTCAATGTGCCATGCTATGGGCAAGAGACCAAGAAATACAGATGGTTGGCACTGCATAGAGAGCTCTAGAAATTTAACTTTCCCATTAAAAACTGGAGTGGTCCAGTGATTTGAAATGTAATAAGTAAAGGATTAAAGAGAAGAAAATCTATTTTTCACTCTTTTATAGTTCAAATTGTTCTAGGGAACCTGAAGATAAGACTACTGTCTCCCATTGGCTATATTCATTTTCTTTCAAATGTGTTGAAGCATTTTTGAAGGCTGCAAAAATAGGTCAGACAACTAAAAGCAAAATGATATAGAGATATAAAATTCAGTGTCAGTAGGTTATATCCCTTAAGAAAAGGTAAAAGGTAATTTACTTGAAAAGATGTGATTTATTATCACTGTTTTTGAGAATGTTCACTGTGCCCTTGTTATACTGTTAATGCTTGCACAAATAAGTAAGCAACTTTTTATGTCATTGCTTTTAAGATATTATTTCAAATGAAGAATATCAAGAAATTAAATGTATGGCAATTTGCAACAATTTTACTCCAACTTACAGATGAATGAAGATGTAATGCTTTAAAAAAGATATTTTTTTGGAGCAGAAATGGAATACATTTGAACTGGCTTAATACTTGAATCACACGCCTCCATACAGTGAGATGAGCTTTGAACCACTGTGGAAAGAGCCCGAGTGTGCCCTCACCTCTCTCTCTTGCTGCTGTGGAGGTCCTTTTTCGTGTCTTTGTCTCATCCCACATGGACTAGCATGCCCCTTTTGTTGGCCTCCCAGCCCCTGCACGCATAATTAACAGACTTAAGCTGGTACACCATGCTCCCACGGGGACTCTGCCAGGTGCGAGAGGGAGAGCATGCACGTGACTAGATCTAGACACCTTGGCAGGGGGGTTCTGAGACAGCAACAGCGGCTGGTCACTATCACTCTCTTCAGAAGCTTGATGCAGGCAACCTCCTATACACTGCCTCCCATTCCCATCTCCTCCCACTGTTAGAACCATCACCAGTGCTAAGGACTTTACGGAAAAAAAAAATTACTCTGAGGTACCGCTGTTTCAGCCACTTCAATAAAGAAAATTGTTGACTCCCTTTAATTCTGGTCATATTAAAATTCTTTCGTGATTGTTTAGTTTGCCACAGCCTACAATAGCACATATAGGGTATCAGGAATTTGCTAAGCAAAATCACATTATTTTCACAGAATACATTCAAATAAATGATTTTTCATTTGAATTGTCTCCAATTAGATGGATCCCTCAAGAGAGTCAGTCTTTATTATGTTTTTATTCAAAACTCTGTCAGTCTGAATATGTTCTTGTGTTTCTTAACACTAATGCCTTTCTCTTAATTACAACAATGAAGCTTTAAGTTATACGATTTACTTATCCACAAATAGAAGGGGAAATGATTTTGAAAAATGAAACCAGTGAAAGTTTTAAACAGTAAACTTCTGCTAAATTCCCTGTGAAGTCAGTTATCCTTTTTACTGGAAGAAATGCATCATACCAAGTGGCTGAAACCTGAAGACTATGTGTAAAATCTACACATTTGATTTTATGCATAGGCAAAACATTACACGTGAACTTAAATGCTAACATTATAACAATATCAAGCTTTGGCTAAGAAACAAAACATATATGCATGCAAAAAATTGTGTCAACACCTCTTACAATGGTTGGTAATATCTAGTAATAACTTAATAGCTTACTTAAATGAGAGGGAGAAAACCTTACCTTGCTAAAGTCAACTGTGCTGTTTTCCCTGCTCACATCATTTTTATTTTCAACACAGGCTGGTGCAGACTGAGGAGAAACAACCTGGCCTGCTAAAGAGATTGTTATTACAAAATACAAACAATTACTTACATAATTCTAGACATATTGCATGCAATATAAATTAAACTAAACTAACATAGGTTTTTTTTTAATGAATTTATGAGGTAAACATGAAGATTCAATGTAAATAGATATCAAGAAATACAAATATTCTTATTTATCAGTTACAGATAGAAATGGGAGAATTCAGTCAAGGAAATGAAAATTCATTCTCAGATTTAAACTAAACAGTTATTCTCTAAGAAGAAAGAACAACTACAAAAATGATTTTAATCTAATTACAGTCTTGAAACATCATTGATTTTTAAATTTTATCCAAAACTAATGATATACATACATCTCTTATGATCTAAACTCAGACTGAAGAATTTTATAGACAATTTTTTTTTAAAGAGCAAATATTTATCTGAAAAGTATATAGCATATTTACAGTTTTCTACTGCATCTGAAAAACAAACAAAAGAGAAAAAGTTCTTTGACAACAGCTTTTGGAAATTTCTATATGAGAGATCCAGTTAGAAATACCTTCACCTCACATATTACAAATACTGTGAATATATTATGCTTCTCACTATTCAATTGCGTAAATATATTGATATTGGTCTGCAAAGGATCAATAAATTTGAATTGTATTTGTTTTCCATTAATACTAACTAGCAACTTAATTATTTTGACGTCTTGTTCCCATTAGAAGAAAGATTATGATATTAGTTAAGTGGACAATACAGCTAAGAACGTGACAATGACTAACGAAGGATAATTATATTTCATTATTCACTAAATATGAAACATTCTTTTCAATCACATTATCTGAAACCTGTTCATATTTAGCAATTAAGTTATAAAAATAAATGTTTGCTTAATCTCACATGTATCTGTCTTTTCCCTAACCTCTCCCTATTCTCACTTGTTACTTTTACTGTGATATGAGTAATGACAATCCAGCTTTGAAGCCTTGACCATATTTTATGACCATTACTCAGTTACTCCAAAATACTGTTCTTATTCTTCACTGTCTTAGATGGTAATATTCTCATTTCTCTCTGCCTAACTCTTCTCTCTACCTCCCTAAATCCCAGGTTTATTCAAAGTTCACTTTTAGACTCATCTCTAATTACTGCAGTCTGTACTTAACTGAAGTTCTCTAAACTGTTAGTGCGCATACAAATAATACTTCTTTAAATTCTCTCTTGAAATCCACTTATTCACTGATGCCTAGAAATTACCAAGTGTGATGTAAAACACTAATAATTTACTTCCAAATATTACTATCATTTTGCTTTTTGAACATTAAGCCTCTCAGGCAGGGGTCATTTTTTAATAAGTACAATTTTTATGGTTTAAAATTATTATTTTGCCAGAGAGTAATGGGATTAAGATTCTTCTAAAGTTTAAATGTTTCACTGCTTTCATTAAACAAAGTAACACATTTGATGAAGATTTTTAAAATGATTTTAAGAGAAAATTCACCTTAAATCATGTATACCAATTCTGATTACAGCAAATTTCAAAAATTACATTTTAGAGAGGTGACAGACTTAAGCTGCATCGGTTATTTTCATTCTCCCATTTCTAACTGCAGTGTGCAGCTATGACTGTGAACTGTTCATTAGCAGACATTTCATTTATCATTCTCAAAATAATAACTATAAAAAAAAAACCTTTTACATAATGCATTTGTGCTACTAACAGATGTCTTCAATCACCAGTTTCACATCATTTCTCCATATGAGTTAGAACATTAGATATATTTAAACCTAAATTTACTGAATGTTCCATAAAACTGAATGGTGAAATTCAAGGCATGGATAAATTAAATAAACATATATCTGCTTTCTTATAATAATTTATTTCATGTGATAGAAAATCACATGGAAGAACAATTATTTTACTCAATGAGCAGACACAAAAATAGTCAACCTAATAAAAAATCATCACTTTAAAGAGATTTCATGGGATAGAAAATATGCTGCAACTTAAAATTTGAAAAAATTGCACAGCCTATGTTTTCACATATATACTCCAAAAGCAGACTATTTCATAAATTACCTTTAACTCATGAGATATGTTTAAAACTGGCACTTGTATTTCTTCTTATAAACATTAATATATTTTGAGATTTACTGTTCTATGCTATTCTTATTCTAAAAATTTTATTAAATATTACCTCATAAAGTTGATTATCATGAAGGGATTTGAAAAATGTTTTCTATAACTGTTTTAGTGACACGGATAATAACCAGTGGAGAGTATTTAACTAGCAGGAGACATATTAGATGATAATAATTTTCCTACTAGTTCCAGATTCTAAGTATGTGCATAGAATGCATATGCCAATGCAGGGGACAAAAATCATAAAAACTACAAGTGTGTGACATATGAATATAACCCAAAAGTTGATATCACTCATATGTCAGAAATAATAGTTAAATATTAGCAAATATTAGTAGACACATTTAATCTCATCAAAGTTTAAAAAGTACTCCAACTCTTATTTCTTAATGTGTATGTTAATTTGTTAAAATGAAACAACACATATTAAATGTATATACTTTAAGGCAGTATCTGAAAATGACAGGATACAGAAAAATGTACAGGTATAATATTATTATTGAAAAATTAAACACAAGGTTTGGTTTGGGTTATTTTGAAAAAATTCAAGCCTTTAAATAAAGCTTAAAATTTTATTTGTTCTATCTACCTACCACCTGTCTAAAATGTGCACATGAACTACAGTCTATTTAACTACTGAAAATTTCATAAATTAAATCATTTTTATAATTCTGTTATCAATTATCTTTTTCCGTCTAAACACTGATTTCTTTAGTTTATTCCAGTTATCACTGCCTTTCAGAAGAAGGTGATGGCTTAGATTTCAAAATGACTCTCATTAACTCAAATATTATTACATAAGAAGAATCAGTAAATTTAGGTTTTGAAAGAGCATCCCTTATTTTCTCATTCATATCTAAAGCAATACTAGTTCACAGAATACAATTTTCAGGTACAGGATTTTATACTCAGCCAGAAGTGAATTATGTTTCCTAAAAAAATAACAAAGCACTTGCTAGGATTTTCCCCCTCCAGGATGAAAGAGTAAAGTTAGGATTGAGCATTCACATGTAAATGTAGCTGCTGCTGCTGCTGCTGCTAAATCGCTTCAGTCGTGCCCGACTCTGTGCGACCCTATGGACAGCAGCCCACCAGGTTCCCCTGTCCACAGGATTCTCCAGGCAAGAATACAGGAGTGGGTTGCCATTTCCTTCTCCCATATACATGTAGAAGTTCTATGAATGCTATTTTTATTATAATTTTTCCAATCAATATGCCACAATGTTTTTGAACATACATATTTTTGCCTGTTTCTTTATATTACCTTTTCTTCGACCATTGATCACTGTTTACAATAATATATTCTATAAGTAAATGTCATTGCAATATTTAATCAATTTGTTATTATAATATCTCAATAACTTTTAGAGATTAAGATGATTATCCAAAAAAGACATTTATTAACTTACAACTTTATTATATCTAGGGTAAATTATTCAAAAACTGATGAATTAGCTAAAAATTAGCTGAGCCATGTTCATGCTTGGGTTTCCCTGGGGACTCAGATGGTAAATAACGTGCCTGCCATGCAGGAGGCCTGGGTTCAATCCCTAGGTCAGAAAGATCCCTTGGAGAAGGGAATGGCTACCATTCATGATTATTTAAATGTAAACACTTAAGAAACCAGTATTTTTATTTTTCCAACCTTTCAAATTCAAAGAGTTCACCATCTTAAATCCAAAATTCCAGTATTTGTTATACATCTTATCAAAGTATATATTACATAGTATTTACATCAACAACTGCTTGAATTAATTTTCCTTTGAATCATGAATTCATTTTTTTCCCTCTGGACCTCCATGTAGGGATCATATATAAGTTAAATAAAAAGTTATTATATGCCATGTACTTTTTCAAGGCAAATCATAAAAGATATGGGCAAGCACAGGAGGAAACAGCAATTCAAGCAACCTCTAACTAGAAAATAGAAGCTCTGCTTGTTACACAAAAATTTTTCACCAAGTCTGTTGTGAGACTGGCAGAATCATTTCCCTCACCATAAAGTTGTGAGGTAGGAACATGCGATTATCTCAAAAGAATTAGTTTTTTTTTTTTTTAACTTTAAGTAGTGTCAGTATCATTAAAGCCTCTCAATACTGAAACACAACCATAAAAAAGATCTCAAAAAGATTATTAAAATTATATTAATTCATTTAAGTCCTTATAGTTTTCTTCCTCTTTAAATAAATTATGTATATAAAACAGCAGCCTTTAAATCTCTATTTGGCCAAATTCAAATCAATAGGAGAAAAATATATCACTGAAGTACACCAATATTTTCTATTGCTTAATCCACTGAAAATCACATGTAATAGAAGGAAACTGGGATGAAGACATGAAGGTACAATACTGTTAACCTATAGACCAAGCTGATTTACACTACCTCAGAAACCTTCAACGCATTTAGAGTACCCAAAGGGTAGGAGATGAGGGAGGTACAGAGATGAGATGAGCCTGTTAGAGACAGACACAAGACACAGCAAAATAAAGAAATACAAAAATGAATGACAAAGTTACATACATGTGTAACAATACATTTATCCATGGGAATAGAAAACATGAAGAAAGAAAGGCTAAATATTTAGAAAATGTTGATTAGGTGAGCTATACTTCAAAAACATGAGAGTATGCACATAATTAAACTTGGAGAAAAACTAGTATGTCTGAAAATAATTATGTAATATAAGAAATAACAAATTTAAACACATCATCCTAGAAACATTTTTGCTGTTGAGGTACTCTTGAATTTCCAAAACTACGTAGCAACAGTACAGTTTCTCAACAGACCTACGAGTTGTGTCAACAATGCCATCTTGATTTTTTTTTGAGAAATGGAAAATACTTTTATTATATAATGTTTAATTGTATCATCTACATGAGTTTTAAATGTTTTCTCTCAAGTAATTCTAAGAACTATTATTCAGCTTTTTTTTCCATCAAGGTAAAACATTATAAACAGATACTTTTTAAACTCTTGATATCTCTTACGAGATAACAGTATTTTAAAAATAAGAAAGCACGTAAATAGGTAAACACATAAAACATTATATATCTGAAAAGAAAAAAGTACAGCATTTGTAAAAGATGCAATTATAAAGCCATAATACTGATTTTAAAAGTCATAAAAAAAAATCGTTCACAATACAGACGTGTATATCACTTTAAGGGCTGAAATCTGTGCAGGCCTAAAGAGTCAAGTCATTTCATCCTTCCAAATCTAAATGTTCTCCAGAAACCTACAGTTTTGAAAGTAAGTCAGGGACCTTCTGCTCTGCAATTCCTTTTAAGATCCTAAATAAAAGGTACAACTGGAAAGTGTTCAGAACAGGAGGGAGAAAAGATAAGTGAAGGAAAAGAAATAAGAGAATTATTAGTAAACAGTGGAATGAAGACACACTACACCTAAGGAAACTAAGTCTAAGTTATGTTTTTAATGTAAAGGTTATCACAAGGGTGATAATATTTTAGAATAGATTTGTAATCCAGAGTCTCAAAAATACAATTGAATGTATGATCTAAATGATTACTACAAATAGTGATATATCCTGCTTTCTAAATCATTAAATACAAAAGCCTTTATTTTGGAAAGTCCTGCCAGTTTCAAGAAATTATTCAAATATTCTTTATATATTTTAGTACTTTCCACAACATTCTTTTGAATTCTAATGTTAAGGAAGATATGAGTTTTCTATTATATTTTTGCTGTTGTTTTGCCAGATAGAACTGTCACTTTTTATTGAAACATCAGAATCAGACATTTAATTCTCACAGTTTTGATGCTTAATGAAAAGTGAAAGTTAAACACAGCATGGTGGCATTAAAAATGCATGGTGAATCCATAACATCCTGTGTCTTAGCCCTTAAGAGAATGTGCAGTACACCAAGAAAAAAATTATACAAAAAAGTTAAGCTAGCATACTTGGAGGTAAGATTGATAAATGATCACAAGTTATTAAAAAAGTCATGAACAAAATACAGCAGGTAGGGGAGACGAGCAACCAAATCACTATCTAGTAAGTCTAATCTACAACTTGGGGAAGAATCCCACTTGATCTTCAGGTTGAAAATGTCTAAACGTTTAACCCTTAGGACTACTACCAAGGTAGCATGTTCAAGGAACAGGTCAACCAAGGAAGCGGAAACTTTATTCGATATGACTCTTTTACAGAGTTTTCTATACAAGTGTCAGTTTGTTGCTGAGGGAATATCAATTGTTTCACTTCTAAAAAGGTATTATATAGTATTTTATATATTATATAATACTTTAAACAAGAGGGGACTTGGTTCCATCCCTGTACTTGGCAAGGAAAATGTTTGCTGTTTTCAAGTTTCTAGGAAATCCTCACACTATTTAATTCCTATTCTATAGTTTTAATTTTTAAAAGATTCTTTTTGCATAAAATACTCTAGTGAAGAGTTTTTTTTAATAATGAGAATATTATTTTTACCATTTTGGAAATATTGAAACCCTTTTGTATCTCTCTGTAGTATACTGCACACACACAAAAAAATGTAATATCTATCACATATCTTTAAGCAGAATGTCAAATCTATATTTATAGTTATAAATTTTGATTTGCTTATTTATTTAGAGTTAATCAGTTTTTAGAGTTCATAAGTAGATTGAGAACCTTAGTAATAAAGGTCTTTCACCCTCTTTTTCACTTTCACTTTTCACCCTCTTTCACTTCTGGATAGGAAATTTATTTCTAAATTGGTGATGTCTATTCACATTTTCAGAATTCTTAACACACATAATTATGCAAAGTGTGTGAGGAAGCAAAATAGAGTCACAGGGAGGTGTTATAAGCCTAGGCTTAGAAAACCACTTCTGACAGTGTACTTTATGACAATACTTAATTGGGTGTATGAATTTTATTAGAAATGTTTCCAAGTTTTTATTATCCTAATATATGCCTCAAAAAGATCTTATGTGTTCAGATAAAGACTGATTATACAGATGGTGACAGAACTATTCATATTCTAGTTTTGAGAAAAACTAAGCAATTGCCTGAATAAGACAAAAATCAGGCTCCCAGAAAAACTTTGTATCTATATGTGGATTTTTTATTTAAAGCTATAATTCTATCACCTCTTCTTATGTTTAATGAAGGTTTAAAGCTGTAACAAATAATGTGTCTAGGTCTATATGATATTACAATAAATAATTCATCCAGTGAATTCAGTGCCCTTTCCCTCCAAGTATAATGTAATAAAATCATTTTACAGTAAATGTTATCCCCAGTGAAATCTGAGATACAAATTATGGCTAGCTCACAAGGTCCTTGCATCTTTGAACAAACACATATTATTCTTACAGACATATATTTTATTGTTTGATTTCCAGTAAAGGTAATGAAATAAAAACAGAAGTTAACTTTCATAAAATTTACTTGCATTCAAAGAGATTTACATCATGATAATATTTTAATAAGGTCTTTAGAATCATCTAGATATAAGTCAATAGTCAAAATTAGCAAATATCTCAGTCTGTTTTCTGTTTCTTAATCTGTTTTTTTAAAAAATACCAAGTAAATACTAGTATTGTGAGCATAATAAAAGCACTATGTTTATAATAAGTTTCAGAATATAAAAACTTCATTTTGTCATTTTCATATATAATATATTTCAAAACAAATTGTGATTTGGAATATGAGTATATTTTAAATATATGATGTAATTCAAAGCAAGCTATAAAATACTCAAACTATCCAGTGGGATTGATAAATACAATATGGTATATTATATAAAGCACTCATAACACTTTTACTGAACTTAATATATGCACAACTATAGAGTTTTCAATATAACAATGATTTACATTCAGTCATTAAAGGCTCTTTAAAAAAATCAAATGAGTATTTCAAAAATTATTTTGCCATTTAGAACTGGTTCTGTGTTCTGAAACAATAGTACATTTAACCATCTTTATTGATTTATTAAAGTATTTCTTCTATTTGTCTATATTTGATTGGTAGTATGGAAATTACCAAAGTGCCTATATAAAGTAGAATCATTTTCATGCATTTGTATTTAAGCATCTTTGAAGCTTTTGAAAACAGGAGTGAAATTACATAAAGCCTATGCTGTCAATATACATACTTCAGTCCATTTGTAGAAATCACTCTCTAGTAAAACACCTGCAATTATTTTTCACTAATTTGTATTTTTTTAAACTGCAAAATTTTTCTAGCTAGCAGAAGTATAATAAACTCATATCATCTGCATAACTTCATTTTCCTTCACAGGACTGATGGAAAGGATGAGTGACAGATTTCTAAGCAACTTCCTTAGTGTAAAAGATGAAGGTTCAAATGGATACCAGGAGGGAACAAAATACACAGAAAGGATAAAACAGTCAGAAACATTGTTTTGGCTTCATGATTCCTAAGAAGTAAGTCATGAATGAGTACTAGAAAACAATGGTTGGCATCATCTATGTTGGTGTGCCAAGATGGTAAGTGTGGTGGCTCCGTGGACACTAAATGAAACAGTACTGCAAAAAGCAATGAGCCTGTGAACTAGAAATCAGGCTTAATATATGTAGAGACACAAGTAAGGTACTAGCTGCTCATTTCAATTGTGATCTCAAAAGGGATTCCTTGACCATGAACAACATGAAGCCAATATTTTTCTCTCACCATCACTAAATGTTGATGATTATTCATTTTAACTAAAAGACATTAAGTCAAAGCCCTGTTAAGCTATGAGACACTCATTAAGCTATGACACAAAGACTAGGATCTTATTTGGGATGCAACTGACAGTTGATGTTTGCTACATTGGAGTCTATAACCTCCTATTAGAAAAAAGTTTTCCTTGCATTCTTTCATGAGCCTTTCAGGAAACTTAAATTCTTTGTCAAAATTTCTACAATTTGAATTTCAATAGATCATTTTCAAGTAAGATATATTTTAAAGGACTTCGATAGTTCAGACAACTATAATAAACAATGAGTACAATAAAGAAACATTTACCATTTTTATCCATGGAATTTGGTTCTGATTGCTTCTTGCCGATATCAGCAAAGGAACGAACAATAGGAATCCTATTGGTTAGCTTCTTCTGATTCTGGTGGTGATGCTGTTTCATCAAAGCCTCATGGACCCTGTGGCGTACATCCTCGTTGAGCTGACCTGAGCTCACTTGTTGATCAAGGACCATATCTGTACAGTGAAGGAACAAAGAAGATATAAGCACAGCTTTCCTGTGATGTGACAGTAGTGAACCACTGAGTCAAAATATGCATACCCTAGATAATCTTAGAAACAGAAGTTTGTCTTTGTAGAAGTGTTAACACAAGAAAGACTTGGGAACTTTTTCATTATAAATCATACGTTTTAAAACATGTATCATATGGAGTTTTATTTTTCAAATATGAATAGCTGTATTGAGAACAAAATGCTTTATTGTCTCCATTATTTACACTGATGAGAGGGAATAGTAGTAAGAGTAATATAAATACAAATAGTACGTCTAAAATTGGAAAGTAGCCTCATACTTATATTTTAATATATCTTCTTCTCCTTTTCTAATAGAGAATAACTTCCATGTTTTTTCTTTAAGTGAACAAAAGTCCACCTGTAAAAATCTGATGCAAGGGGGCTTAGACAACTATCTCTGTGTGTGTGCTCATTCATGTCCAACTCTTTGCAACCCCATGGACTGTCGACAGCCAGGCTCCTCTGTCCATGGGATTTTCCAGGCAAGAATACTGGAGTGGGTTGCCATTTCCTCCTCCAGGGTATCTACTTGACCTAGGGATCGAACCCTGATTGGCAGGTGGATTCTTTATCACTGAGTCACCTGGGAAGTCAAGTAAACAACTCTTTCACATTAATATAAAGTCAATCCTCTCAAATCTTCCTTGATAATGTGTTTATATTTAAGAAAAAAATTCTATATCCATCAAATAAAGAATAAAAGATGAGATTTTCAGAAGGTTATAATTAGGCAGATTGATATTTATCATGTGTAAGTGTCAGAAATGCCTATAAAATAAGTAGATGAGTAAAGAGTTCTTGGTAATACAAAGTTCAACTCACTAAACCTCAGTGTAATTAATCTGGTTTCCTATGACCAAATATTAACTCTGTTTGATCTTCTTACATAAAGCAGATTACAATGAATTACCTTCCACTGCCCCACTGAGTATACTGAAGATTTGAAAACTAGCAGAATCCTCCTTCCAAACAATGTTTTCCTTCCATGTGAAAGGCAAATGACTGGGGAAACAGACTTGGGTCCTGTCTCACATTCCAGTTATGTGGCCTTGTAATGTTGAATAATTGCAGTGTCCTTATTTCTAAGACAGAGATAATAGCTATCTCATACCAGCACTGTTGCCAGGACATAAGACATGATTGGAATATGTAGGTCTTCAGTAATTTCCAGGTACAAGATTTTCTTTGCAATTTCCTTTAAGTAGGTTACGGGTTTGCGGTTTAAACTTTTGGATAGTTTTAATTCATTTATCTATATTTTACAATAGTATATCAAGCAGAGGCAAAGTTGGATTTATCAGTAACAGAAAATCCAAATCAAACTATCTAAAACAAATTTCATTGGCTCACATAGCAGAAAAATCAAAGTTAGGTTGGATTCATTTCATTTTTTCAGTGATTCTATCAGATTCTCCCCCCTTACAGTGAGGAGGGGTGAGCTTTAACCTCAGGCTGTTTTCCTTACTATCATAAGGTGGCTGCCAGCAGCAACAAAGAAATACACATCTTTCGTATCAGAGTTTCTTTGCTTGTTTGTGACTTTCTCTTAAAACAGAATTCTTTTTCCCCCTTCCTAGTGACAATTCTAAGCTCGACTGACATAGTCCTGTCTATCTTTGCTGAGCCAATCACTGACTAAGAAGACGGGATCCCCACTTGCCTTAAGCTAATCAAGAACTTCCCATTACTCTGGAGTCATTTCCCTAATTCAGAGGTAGACAAACCTTTTATGTACTGAGTCAGATAATAAATATTTTAGCCTTTGAAAGCCATACAATCTCTGTCACAACTATTCAACTCCATTTACATAGCATGAAAGTAGCCACAGACAACATGTACAAATTAACATAATTGTGTTTCAGTAAAACATTTTATGGACACTAAATTTGGATTTCACAAAATTTTCACATTTCAAAATATTGATCTTCTTTTTATTGCTTTTAAAAATGTAAAATGTAATATTCCTTGTTAGCACACATGCCTAACAAGATCAGGCAGTGGCCATATTTGCACATACAGCATAATTTGCCAGCCTTTGCTCTATCACTTGGCTGTTTTCGATGGAAAGAGGTAAAATGCATGTCTGGGAATAAGCCATAAAATCCTCTATAATTACCTCCAAAGTCTCTTCTGAAAATGTATGATAATATATTTAAACTTATATCTCAATTTTTTGCAGACTAGTAGTTATAATACACTTGGATTAATTTGAAATAAAGGAAATGGTAAATTGTCAACATACATGACTTCACATTGCAACCCTGCCAAGAGGGAAAAACATATATAAAACATGCATCATTGTTGTTGTTTTAGATGCCAAGTCATGTCCAACTCTTGCAACCCCATGGACTGTAACCTGCCAGGATCCCCTGTCCATTTTCCAGGCAAGAATAGTGGAGTGGGTTGACATTTCCTTCTCCAAGGAATCTTCCCCAAATATGCATTATATACTTCATAATAGGAGTTGTAAAGTAGGTTATTCAGATACCATCACACAGCAGTTTTATCTATAAGTCATGATATGTATCCCAAGTTCAATATTCTAATCAGAATAAAAATTAATCATATAATAAAACATGTACATGCTTATAATTTTTCATTCTTACCAAAGCACAGCTTTCCAGGCTTGAGCACTACGAAAAATAATAAGTCACTGACTTAAAAGTTTTTCAGAGATAAGGTCTTTATATAAAACAGTTGTATAAGAGAAAATAAATAGTAAAAAAAAAGGAAACTCATCTGCTCATTAGTAAGAAATAAATACACAGTAAACTCCTCTGAAGTAACTGCATCTAGCAATGCCTTAATGAACTATAAAAGTTAATCTACTTGCTTAAAAATATAACTCATGCTAAAGGTGGAATTTAAGTACCAAAGGGAGTGTGATTCACTAATCACTTACATTGTTCTCCTCACCACTATAATATACATTAGTATTAACCTTGAAAAGTAGGAAAGGATAATGGGTCATAATGACTTTCGGCCCAGAGTCAAGACCGACCATCTCCACAGGCTCTGATGCCTAAATAACACAGTCTAGCCTGCCAGAGTACAATGCCAGGATCTGATGGTAACAGAAGGAGCAGGAAGAAAAAGGATAAATCGGTCAATCTTCTAGCACTAAACAGGCTCCAGAAAAATTAGTAGCATTTGTGTAAAAAGACCTCAGAAAGTGAAAAAATACTTCTCGTCCTAATAAGGCAATTATGTCACCATGATTAGTTCATTTTGACTACTGAATGAAAGCCTCTAGAGACCATGAGATTCTACAGACTCTATATAAATCTCTGCCTCTTTAAAGATGATCATATAATTGTTTTGTCTTAATAATCTGTTGTCTTAAAAGATGCTGGAGGAGAAGTGGAGGATAGAGGCTTCTAAACTGGTTGACAGTACCGACAGCAGTATGTGTAATAAAAATGTAAACTACCATGGTGCTAGTGCTAAGTTGATTCACTTGTGTCTGACTCTGCAATCCCATGGACTGCAGCCTGCCAGGCTCCTCTGTCCATCGGATTCTCCAGGCAAGAATACTGGAATGGGTTGCCATGCCCTCCTTCAGGGGATATAAACTGCTATAAAAATACTTAATTTTGACCAAGAATGGTAACAGTATAGGCATTTAAAACATATATATGGCTATTCTCATACTCCCAAATCTGCAGAGTATATTTAGTGGAGCAAACTATGGATTTTTCTTGGACAAAAGATTTTAAACAATGAAAGTTGTTTTAACGAGCTGAGATCTATGATTGCTAATCTGTCCATGATACTAACTCTGGTTTGGTTTTAATATCTTACCTTCATTGACAGAATTAGGTTAAAATATAAATACTACAGAGGTAATATTTCCATTATTCATCTTTATAGTACTGAATTTAAAAGAGATTAACATAGATTGCAAAATTACCTACAATTTATAGGAACATAATTGAGAAGCATTTTTAATATAATTAATCCCTATATCAAAATAAATTGTGATAAGAAAATTTATCTGGAGAATCTTGGATTTGAAAAGGTTAAGTAATATTTTGAAGGAATGTTTAAATTTATTCTCAGTTCCTTAAAACATTGGGAAATAGACATTTTTAAATTAACTTTATCCAGAAGAAAATCCTACTTTAATTACACCAGAAATTCTTGACAGACCTGCCAGATACAAATGGGATTTTCTCCTACTAAGTCTACAAAAATCTCTTTAAGGAATTATTTAAGAGTCTATTAAAAACATATCAGAACATTGATATAAAAATCCTTGACCATTCTAAAACAATATCTGGGCCATATTCCTCTACTAGGAAATGTCTAGAAAACATTAAGCTGGAGAGTCTGTGCATTTACAAAGTACTAGGGCTTACAGCTCTTAAAGATAAACAATTATATCTCACTCTCGCAAGACAGAAACTAGTGACTAATACGTTAGTAACTGCCTAATGTATAGAAAAATATAATAAATAAGAGGTGAAGAAAAACTTCCAAATCTTAAAGTTAATCACAATCACTATGGTCCCAAATTATCATGAAATGAATAAAACAAAATTTATGATTATAGGTTAATCGAAAGAAGCTATTTCCCATCTCCTGCAGGTGTTACCTGTAATATATCACTATTAATCTGTTTATAAAATGGAGGAAATAGTTTCCTCTCTACCTCACAAGGTGTCTGTGATAATAAAATATAGTAATGAATGTGAAAATACAAAGTTAGAAGTCTTCAAAATGTAAAACATAAGTACTACACACTCAATAATATAGCTAAATTGTCACAAAGTAAAAATAGCAGTAAGTAAACAAGAAAATAATTACAAGCTATCAGGAGAAAATGTTTTAATGAGACTTTATTGAGGACAGAAATAAATACATTTGGATTAAATAAGCCAAATTAACATTACTCAAAGAGAGAGAATCTCTTCTCATTAATGACTGAAAAGGAACCTAAGGTAATAATCATCTACACAAGTATAAGGTAATAATCATCTACACAAAAAAATCATATTTTTCTACATGGTATTGGCTCTAAACTACTGACCTTTTCTGAATGGCAATTTACAGACTGCTGTACATTGAAAATGAGACATTAAAAAAGTTAGTCTACTTTGGAGCCAGAAAGATACAGACTAATTAGAAAAGAATAAAGAATACTAAAAAGCTATTAATATTTGGGGTACAGAAACTTCCATTGAACTACTTTCATTTGTAAGAATAGACTTATAAAATGTAATCTGCTTTAAAAAACTAGATTCAACACAGCTAACGACCTTTACATATTCTACAGAACTGAGCCTGGGGAAGAGGGCAGGTTTAGGGAAATGAAACTTAAATTTAGACAACAAAACCAAGATAAGATGATAAGTGTTTTAGTCAAACTATAACAGAATATTCTCTGGTGGAAATAAATTCCTAAAGAAGCTATTCAGAATTAAGAAATTTTTAAGAAATGTTTTAAGAAATTTAAAGCCTGGTAAAACTATAAGGACTACTCTCTGAGGCTAATTTTGCCACACTGAGGAATTTGACAGCTTCATTAAACACAGCCAATATAAAACTCATTTGAATTAATCCATTTCCAAAGGTAATGCCATCACTGACTAAGTAGCAGAAATAAACTCCTTATTTTCGCCAAGACCTTTAACCTTGTGAGTCTCTTCATTTATGAAGGATAACAATAATACTACTAAGTTCCAAGTCTGTTCTGAGAATCAAAAAGATAGCTGTAGAATTACTAAAAAGAGCTTCCTAAATGGTGGAGTGCTAGGGAAAGCTTTACCATTTCATTTTTAATTAAAACAAAATTTTTATTGGTATCAGCAATACTCTATAATGTAAAGCTAGGAAATTGAGTTGGAGGGCTACTATAACAACATTCTCAGGAAGCTTGCTAATTTCTACGGTTGTTGTTATAGTTGCGAAATTATCCAACTCTTTGCAACCCCACAGACTGTAAGTCTTGGTTAATGTGACCTGTTACTGTATCCTGTGTTCTTCCAAAAAGTATGCTGTGTATACTTGATAGAGTCATTTAGGCTCTAGTTCTGTATTTTAAAATGTAACTTCTTTCTAAGTGTTGTATGACTGAGTGGAAGGAAGCTTGTCTCCCCTGTGCATGTGTGTTTTGTTTGTGATTTAACAAACAATATCCCTCCATGCTTACTTTTCCCCCCACATATTGCAATGTCTGTATGCCTACTAGCACCAACAACCAAATAAATAATTTCAGAGGAATTAACGACATCCACTTCAAGCCATCTCTTTCTTCAGACAGTAGTTGTAATGTAACAGAAAAAACATGGAGCTTAAAGTCAGAGGATCTTAGATGGAACCTGAATCATGAAAGTTTCAGAATTTCTATTTTCTTACTGAAATATGGGAATGACACTTTATGAGGCTATTTGAAATTAAATTAGATACATTATTTTTCTAATACAATATTTTCTCATTTATGTGATCAAAAAACAGAGTGTTTCGGGGTTTTTCCCATCCCTACAATATAATTAAGACATTGAAATCTCTCTGAAGTCTTTCTATTCTACAAATAAATTCCACATGGTACTGCTTTTATTTTTTTCCAAACTAGAAATCTTTTTAAAACTGCTTGAGTCTTAGCTTTGTTTCTATTTTGAAAAAAACTTCATTAACCATTTTTATCTATATCCTTTCAAAACTCATTTCTATGGGGGTTTCTTTTGTATTATTTTGTTTTTACTAAAATGTGTTTGTCTTCCAGATCAAAAGATACAGGAGTTCTTTTCTTTTACTTCCAGAGTAACAGTAAAAAGCTTCCTAAATATAACTGCTTGTGTGATAATAGGCTTCTAGTACAAATCATTCATCCCAGAGGCAAGTCACAGTTTTCAGTTACAAACTAATCTCAACTATATCACTTGGCTTCCTCTGGAATTCAAAACTTTTAATTCAATTTAAAATAAATGGAATACAAAAACAAAAAGTAAACAATTTGGACCTGACTAAACTTAAAAGCTTTTGCACAGCAAAGGAAACTATAAGCAAGGTGAAAAGACAACCTTCGGAATGGGAGAATAGCAAATGAAACAACTGATAAAGGATTAATTTCCAAAATATATAAGCAGCTCATACAACTCAATACTAGGAAAACAAACAACCCAATCAAAAAGTGGGAAAAAGAGCTAAACAGACATTTCTCCAAAGAAGACATACAGATGGCTAACAAACACATGAATAGATGCTCAACATCGCTCATTATTAAGAGAAATGCAAATCTAAACCACAATGAGATATCACCTCACACCGGTCAGAATGCCCATCATCAAAAAGTCTACAAACAATAAATGCTGGAAAGGGTGTGGATAAAAGGGAATGCTCTTGCACTGTTGGTGGGAATGTAAATTGATACCATCAATATGGAAGGCGGTATGGAGATTCCTTAAAAAAACTAGGAATAAAATCACCATATGACCCAGCAATCCCACTCCTAGGCATATACCCTGAAGAAACCAGGGTTGAAAAATACTCATGTATCCCATTGTTCACTGCAGCACTATTTACAATAGTTAGAACATGGAAGCAACCTAGATGCCCATCAACAGATGAATGAATAAGGAAGCTGTGGTACATATACACAATGGAATATTACTCAGCCATAAAAAGGAATGCATTTGAGTCAGTTCTGATGAGGTGGATGAACCTAGAACCTACTATAGAGAATGAAGTGAGTCAGAAAAGGAAAAATAAATATCATATTCTAATGCACATATACGGGATCTAGCAAAATGGTTCTGAAGAATTTATTTACAGGGCAGCAGTGGGTAAACAGATATAGAGAATAGACTTATGGACATGGGGAGAGGGGAGGAGAGGGTGAGATGTATGGAAAGAGTAACATGGAAACTTACATTACCATATGTAAAATAGACAGCCAACAGGAATTTGCTGTATGGCTCAGGAAACTCAAACATGGGCTCTGTATTAACCTAGCGGGGTGGGATGGGGAGGGAGATGGGAGGGAGGTTCAAAAGAGAGGGGAGATATGTATACCTATGGCTGATTCATGTTGAGGTTTGACAGAAAACAACAAAATTCTATAAAGCAATTATCCTTCAATAAAAAAATAAATTAAAAAAAATAAAACATGGCCAGGGGCATCCCTAGTGGTCCAATGGTTAAGAATCTGCCTGCCAATGTAGGAGACACAGGTTCCATTCCTGGTCTGGAAAGATCCCATATGCTTGGGGCAACTAGGTCAGTGTACCACAACTATTGAGCCTGTGCTCTAGAGCTGGTGAGTCACAATCACTGAGTCCATGTGCTGCAACTACGGAAGCCTGTGCACTTAGAGCCTGGCGCTCCAGAGCAAGAGAAGCCCCCACAATAAGGAGCCTATGCACCACAACCAGACAAAGCCGATGCACAGCAACAAAGACCCAGAACACTCATAAATAAATAAATAATTTAAAATAAACGGCCATACCTTTCTGTTCTATTCTAAGTTAATATTTTTCCTATTTATTGAAATTTTTTCATTGGATTATTTCATGTATCTGAATATTGGAAAAAAATCAATCTCTAGCTTTATGGGTTTTTCTTTCTATTTTCTCATGGCAGCCTAATTACATACTATGTTGAAAAACAAAAACAGTATAGTCTAGATAGGAGCCAAGATATATAGGTTCTGGTTCTACTTGCCACTGGAAGTTAGACCATATATCTTTGAGATTCAACTTCTTTTATCTTAAATGAGGTGGTAAAACAAAGTTATTTTTAAAGTCTCATACATTGATCATGAGAATTCATTTCCTAAAAATTATATACATATATAGAATTATAAGAAAAAAATGAGTAAAAAAGAAATCAGCTGCACCATAAGGATGAAATAGACTAAAGAGGATAAAAGATATACCTGCAATTTCTTCTAAAGTATTGGCATGCATGTCCAGCAACACAGTTCCATTCAGAACACAACTTCTTAACTCAAATAAGCTGTGCAGTGAAAGAGTAGCCACATAAGGCTTGCTCCACCTTTCCCCTCCATCTTCCACATCTTCTTCAAACTTCAACCACCTATACAAATAAATAATACTATCAGCACATTGAGTGTTACACTGTAGATAAATGAATCTTTATCTCAATAATAAAAGGTATAAACATAAAGATATTGACATTACTTCTTGGTTTCAACGGTTTTAGAAGTAAAAGCCAACCCAAGACATCTGGTCTACTTCATTTTAATTCCATTTAACAAACATTCTATCTGTCATTGAAAGATATATATATATATATCTTATATTATATATATATATAGAAAACAAAGAAAAACTTTAAGTTATTTTTATTAACTTTTTTGGCACAGGAGTGGCTAGCAGCGGTTGGACGGCACAGGAGCGGCTAGCGGCAGCTGGGCGGCGCAGGAACGGGAAGCGGCGTGAGATACCCCACATCCAAGGTAGGGAGCAGCGGCTTCACTTTGCTGGAGCAGCCATGAAGGGATACCCCAAGTCCAAGGTAAGAGAAACCCAAGACGGTAGACGTGAGAGAGGGCATCAGAGGGCAGACAGACTGAAAACCACAATCACAGAAAACTGGCCAATCTGATCACATGGACCACAGCCTTGTCCAACTCACTGAAACAAGGCCATGCCGTATGGGCCTGATAGAATGCAGTCCACGAGAAGGGAATGACAAACCACTTCAGTATTCTTGCCTTGAGAACCCCATGAACACTATGAAAAGGCAAAAAGATAGGACACTGAAAAATGAACTCCCAGGTCAGTACGTGCCCAATATGATACTGGAGATCAGTGGAGAAATAACTCCAGAAAGAATGAAGGGATGGTGCCAAAGCCAAAACAACACCCGGTTGTGGATGTGACCAGTGATAGAAGCAAGGTCCGATGCTGTAAAGAGTAATATTGCATAGAAACATGGAATGCTAGGTCCATGAATCAAGGCAAACTAGAAGTGGTTAAACAGGAGATGGCAAGAGTTAACATCAACATTCCAGGAATTAGCTAAATAAAATGGACTGTAATGGGTGAATTTAACTCAGATGACCATTTTATCTACTACTGTGGGCAAGAATCCCTTAGAAGAAATGGAGTAGCCATCACAGTCAACCAAAGAGTCCAAAATGCAGTACTTGGATGCAATCTCAAAAACAACAGAATGATCTCTGTTCGTTTCCAAGGAAAACCATTCAATATCACAGTGATCCAAGTCTATGCCCCGACTAGTAATGCTGAAGAAGCTGAAGTTGAATGGTTCTATGAAGACCTACCAGACCTATTAGAACTAATACCCAAAAAAGATATCCTTTTCATTATAGGGGACCCAAATGCAAACGTAGGATGTCAGCAAACACCTGGAGTAACAGGGAAATTTGGCCTTGGAGTACAGAATGAAGCAGGGCAAAGGCTAATAGAGTTTTGCCAAGAGAACGCACTGGTCATAGCAAACACCCTTTTCCAACAACACAGGAGAAGACTCTACACATGGACATCACCAGATGGTCAGCACTGAAATCACATTGATTATATTCTTTGCAGCCAAAGATAGAGAAGCTCTATACAGTCAGCAAAAACAAGACCAGGAGCCAACTGTGGCTCAGACAATGAACTCCTTATTGCCAAATTCAGACTTAAATTGAAGAAAGTGGGTAAAACCACTAAACCATTCAGGTATGACCTAAATCAAATCCTTTATGATTATACAGTGGAAATAACAAATAGATATAAGGGACTAGATCTGATAGAGTGCCTGATGAACTATGGATGGAGGTTCATGACATTGTACAGGAGACAGGGATCAAGACCATCCCCAGGAAAAAGAAATGCAAAAAAGCAAAATGGCTGTCTGAGGAGGCCTTACAAATAGCTGTGAAAAGAAGAGAAGTGAAAAGCAAAGGAGAAAAAGAAAGATATACCCATTTGAGTGCAGAGTTCCAAAGAATAGCAAGGAAAGATAAGAAAGCCTTCCTCTTGGGAAGACCCAGAGGGATCTGGTGGAGAGGGAGGTGGGAGGGGGGATCGGGATGGGGAATACATGTATATCCATGGCTGATTCATGTCAATGTATGACAAAAACCACTACAATATTGTTAAGTAATTAGCCTCCAACTAATAAAAAAAAAAAAAAAAGAAAGAAAGAAAGACTTCCTCAGTGATCAATGCAAAGAAATAGAGGAAAACAACAGAATGAGAAAGACTAGAGATCTCTTCAAGAAAATTAGAGATACCAAGGGAACATTTCATGCAAAGATGGGTTTGATAAAGGACAGAAAATGTATGGACCTGACAGAAGCAGAATATATTAAGAAGAGGTGGCAAGAATACACAGAAGAACTGTGCAAAAAAGATCTTCATGACCCAGTTAATTACCATGGTGTGATCACTCACCTAGAGCCAGACATCCTGGAATGTGAAGTCAAGTGGGCCTTAAGAAGCATCACTACGAACAAAGCTAGTGGAGGTGATGGAATTCCAGTTGAGCCATTTCAAATCCTAAAAGATGATGCTGTGAAAGTGCTGCACTCAATATGCCAGCAAATTGGGAAAACTCAGCAGTGGCCACAGCACTGGAAAAGGTCAGTTTTCATTCCAATCCCAAAGAAAGGCAATACCAAAGAATGCTCAAACTACTACACAATTGCACTCATATCACACGCTAGTAAAGTAATACTCAAAATTCTCCAAGCCAGGCTTTAGCAATACGTGAACCGAGAATTTCCAGATGTTCAAGCTGGTTTTAGAAAAGGCAGAGGAACCAGAGATCAAATTGCCAACATCCGCTGGATAATCAAAAAAGCAAGAGCGTTCCAATAAAAACATCTATTTCTGCCTTATTGACTATGCCAAAGCCTTTGACTGTGTGGATCACAATAAACTGTGATCTGAAAGAGATGGGAATACCAGACCACCTGACCTGCCTCTTGAGAAACCTGTATGCAGGTCAGGAAGCAACAGTTAGAACTGGACATGGAACAACAGACTGGTTCCAAATAGGAAAAGGAGTACGTCAAGGCTGTATATTGTCATCCTGGTTATTTAACTTATATGCAGAGTACCTCATGAGAAACGCTGGGCTAGATGAAACACAAGCTGGAATCAAGATTGCCAGGAGAAATATCAATAACCTCAGATATGCAGATGACACCACTCTTAGGCCAGAAAGTGAAGGAGAACTAAAGAGCCTGTTGATGAAAGTGAAAGAGGAGAGTGGAAATATTGGCTTAAAGCTCAACATTCAGAAAACTAAGATCATGGCAAATAGATGAGAAACAGTGGAAACAGTGAGAGACTTTATTTTGGGGGGCTCCAAAATCACTGCAGATGGTGATTGCAGCCATGAAATTAAAAGACGCTTATTCCTTGGAAGGAAAGTTATGACCAACCTAGACACCATATTAAAAAGCAGAGACATTACTTTGCCAACAAAGGTCCATCTAGTCAAGGCTATGGTTTTTCCAGTAGTCATGTATGGATGTGAGAGCTGGACTATAAAGAACGCCTAGCACCAAATAATTGATACTTTTGAACTGTAGTGTTGGAGAAGACTCTTGAGAGTCCCTTGGACTGCAAGGAGATCCAACCAGTCCATCCTAGAGGAGATCAGTCCTGGGTGTTCATTGGAAGGTCTGATGTTGAAGCTGAAACTCCAATATTTTGGCCACCTCATGAGAAGAGTTGACTCACTGGAAAAGGCCCTGATGCTGGGAGGGATTGGGGACAGGAGGAGAAGGAGACGATAGAGGCTGAGATGGTTGGATGGCATCAGCGACTCAATGGACTTGAGTTTGGGTGAACTCCAGGAGTCGGAAATGGACAGGGAGGCCTGGCATGCTGTGGTTCATTTGGTCGCAAAGATTCGGACACAACTGAACTGAACTGAACTGAACTGAAAAATATATTAATGTATGTGTTTAATTGGGCTTCCCTGGTGGCTCAGCGGTAAAGAATCTGCCTGCCAGTGCAGGAGACATGGATTTGATCCCTGAATTGGGAAGATTTCCAGAAGAAAATGGCAATCCACTCCAGGATACTCGCTGGGGAAATATCAGACAGAGGAGCCTGGCGGGCTACAGTCCATGTGGTGGCAAAAGTCAGACAGTACTTAGTAAGTAAACAACAAATGTTTAATCAGTGGTCACAGGGAATCCGTAGTAGAACTAATAAAGACACTATACTTCATGGAATGATAATAAAATGCAAAAGGAAATGAAAGAGTAGTCATTTTTATTTAGTGGAAGGCTTTAAAACAATATGTGAATCTTTTGAAAATTTTGCCCTTCGATTTTTAGAGAAACTAGTATAATTTGGGGATTATTCTGGAGTAAAAATACTTTTTAGGCCTGCTTGAATAAAATCTTGTGATTGCAGTCATTTCTAGGGACTAAATCCATGAGAACTGAGCTCAGATTGCATTACCTAAGTGTTCCTGCCAGGGCTAAGAATAGAAGACTCTTGATAACACAATGCCAAATGGGAAACCATTGCCTTCTTGGAGTGAAATGAACAGTAATATATGAGATTTTTTCTAACTAAGATAAATGGAAGGAATAAAGAGAAATTGATGATTTTACTGCTTGGCAGTCGTACTAAATATCTTATTCTTTTAAGGACTTCCTTTATAATCTCAGTAGATAACCAATTTAATCCCACCATTTCTAATGAACCCTCACCTAAATGCCTCTCCTCTCTTCACTCCATACCATTTTCCTCATTTTTTTTTCTCTCCATGTCACTTTTGACCTAAGTTTCTCTTGCATGCAATATCACTCAAACTTCCTCTCTATATGATATTATATTACTGTCTTCCATAAAACAACTATACAATCAAACACTCTAACTCCAACTCCAACAGAGAACAAGTATGTTGTCTAGTAAAGAATCAGTATATTGACCAGCTAAAAAAGCTAACCAAAAGGGTTAGCTTTTGGTTAGAAAAGCTTAATGTGTGTGTTAGAAAGATTAATGTGTGGAGTTCCAAGAAAGATAAAGAAACTTTGGATCTGTCCTTAGTTTTCAAGGACCAAAATGTCAGGAAGTAAAAAGGAAACTAATAAGGAA